GGAATTCTCATCAAGAAACTCGATGTATCGTACAAACACTTACACGGAACAAAGCTGCTGGAAAGGACTGTAAACAAAATGAAAACATTATATATGGTGGACTTCAGACAGACAGACAGACATTTTATTTCAGTAATGTAGGCCCTTGGCCCATAATACAACATAGAGCAATTATAAAGAATACATACATGCTGGATATAGGATGACGATTGGAGTACAGGTTCAATTGATAGTAGTATTGGATTTATGTCTAAGTTTTAATACGGTGGAGGGGAATGTAGTTAATGATTTTAGATAATTTATGTAGTTGCGAGTAATTAAACGCACAAAAGTTTCAATTGTTGGAGGGTGGGTCTGGTGGGTTGTGAAACATTTATTTCTTATTTCAGAATATTTACCACAGATGAGTAGAACATGGAACTCATCTTCAACATAGTTTAAACCAACAGAGTGGCAGTAAAGGCAGAGACGTTGATCATAGGGTGTATTTGTGTGGCGGCCGGTTTCCACTGCTAATCTAAAGTTGTTACTGCGGAACATAGCCATAACTTTCCTTTGATATGGGAGGAAGTCACATGACAAGTAGTGTTCGACATTAAGTAAAGATTTAAATTGTGAATAATATTTACATTTAGATGAAGAGTCAAGTGAGGAACGCCAATTTGAAGGAAGCAGTCATAAAATCGCTGCTTGAAGATGGATATAAATGTTTTAATGCAGCCAATTTCTTGTGAGATCCATACAAACCCAAAACCATACTGAAAAAGGATTTGTCTTATATGTGAAGACCAAGTAGATTTATTATTATCATCGAGAGATTTGAGCATTTGGTAGGCCTGATAAGGAAGTCTATGATGTAGCTGCAACAGTCTGCACCAGTACATTATTGATCTAGAGGTATAGTGGTATTGCAGTGAGAGTCTGCCACACTCCCCAAGCACCATGCTATTGTTGGTATACTTGCTGACTTTGAGAAAAGTCTTACAGAACTTAAAATGTACAGTTTCAATATGTCTGCAATAAGTGGTTCCCCAAATCTCTGATCCATAACACAGAATCATGGAGTCAAATATCTTAAAAATGTCCTTGTGATTAATACATCCAAAATGTTTCTGGTAATTATAGATGGAGAATATAGCTTTGCTTGCTTGAGCTGCTAAACAGGATTTGGCTTTAGTCCATGACAATTTAGGGATGAACACAATCCCAAGATATCTGTATATATTCACAACTTCTATTTGTTCAACATTTAAAAACCATTTCTCATTCTTATTATTCATCTCACGCGCCTATTCAACGCCAAGGTATGCGTCATCATACCAACTCACAAAGGAAACAACAAACCAACAAATTTAGCCAACAACTACACACCCATTACTTTATTGCCAGTTCCTTATAAACTATTTGAAAAACTCTTGAAAAACAAACTTACCAAATGGCTTACCAATTCTGGTACCTCTCTTCCGAATGCCCGACAAGGCTATCAACCAGGACTTGAATGCACAAGAACCTCCTTTAACTTATCGGAATCCATTCACCATAACCTATAATTAGGGAGTAAAGTGTACGGAGCCTTTATTGATAACAAGCAGGCATTTGACACAGTATGGTATAGTGGACTCTTTCTCAGATTAGCTAACCTCGGAATCATTGGTCAGACATGGAGACTATTTGTGAACTGTTACTCTGACTTTACATGACCTTAAAAGTCTTATTGCAGTCAACGGCTGTCAGTCAGAACACTTATCCATGAAGCAATGTGTGAAACGGGGAGGAGTACTCTCAACCTTTATGTGACTGGTATTCATCGACGATCTGCTGAATCAACTACAGGCTTCAGGACATGGCATACGTGTTGGGAATTTGAGCCTTGGGAATCCGACGTTAGCAGATGACCTCACAGTTCTCTCCCTCTAATCCCTCTGGACACTAATCACTTCTTGATATAATCACTACCTATATCTCGAACTAGAGATACGAAGTAAATCCCACCAAGTGCCAGGTTATTGTCTTCAGTCAGCAAGACAACTCATCATGACTTCATACTCGCTGGCCATCCACTTCCAAGCAGTGACTGTGTCCCCCACCTGGGAACTAAAGTCTGCAACAACCTAACACATTCGCAGTCCATAAAAGAAGCTTGTCTTAAAGCAAGAGCCTCTTACCATTCTCTAACTGGTATTTGTATCTGACCACATGGACTCAATCCCCTGATTTGTTGGCGACCTATATCCCGTTTTTATATTGTATTGTCTTCGTAAATAAAATAGTTTTATATGTACATGCTAGTTTTAGACTCCATCTGTAATACTCTAGTTATTTTATAGTCTTTCGATGACTGATTATTTAGCAACTAAAATATATTGTTTATGTAAAACTTTTCTCGTCACTATATGGCTGAAATATTGCTGAGGTGACGTTACATTTTAACTTACTCACTCACTCAGTCCTCTGATTGTAGAGTCAGCAGTGAACAATATCGCTCTACCAACCCTCCTTTATGGATGTGAACTTTGGACAAACAGATGCCAACATGATGAACATGTATTAGAAACGGCATGGCGCTATCTGGCAAAGCAGATTCAAAGTTTCCCAAGACGTACCCGAAACAGATATGTGCCTCGGCATGATCGGATGGATTCCGGTCCAAGAGAAGATAACTAATTTTTTCCAGTTCATATTCTTCTACAGACTGATCACGCTATCTCGCCGCTTTTTCACTTCCAGACTTCTTCTCTACCTCGAGAAAGCCGACTCAGACACGCTACGCGGATTCTGTCCCGCAGTTGTCCCTGTTCTGCAGTTGTCTCTGGTCTTCAACTCTACAATCTCGGACACCTCCTCATTGTTTTAATTCAAGGTCTACCAATACCAAGCAAGCAATCTTGGATAAAAAAAATCATCACAGAACGAGTAACCTATACAACTGAATGGAAACATTGACAGCACGTCAAGACCTTCTACTTCCTAGCGCAGATGTGGATTGCAGTCCCTCCGCCCGGTGAAACGATCTGTGCCCTGTGCAAGCTCCTGTACACATACCTGCTACAACATGTCCCCAGCTCTATATGCCATTTACAGCAAAATCTGGAGCAACACGTTCTCAATTTATTGTTTTTTATATTGATATAAATTAAATTGTTCTCGTCACGACATGGCTGAGATATTGCCGATGTGACGTTAAATATTAACTCACTCTCTCACTCTGGAGCAACACGCTGGAATATCTACCCCTAAAGCTACATGTACATCTCTACAACTGTGACGACGAGACCTTCCTGCATTTGCTCACAGGTCGTCCATAGACTGTGTGCACTGATGCAGAGGTGCTGCTTCACTTCCACAACCTCTCCGCTGTTTTCTTCATGTCTGCTATGTCTGCATATCAGTACCTCATCGTGTGTCGCCATTTGCACCCATGAACCCCAGCAAAGATTCATGTTGTATATTAAGAAGTGCGTGTTCTTGATATACGAATTATCACATAGGGGATGGATATAGATCTGTTTCAAAAGAATCATCAATGAAAAGAGTAATTCATTAGTTCATCAAACCTCTGGACAAAACGATCTCAAGATGGACAGGCACATGCGTTACAGCATATTCTGTATATTTGTGCAAGGCGATACATGGATCTAGTCGCATCTCTCCAGGAGAAGTACCAATATTATTTTTTGTGCATGTTCAAAGGGTACCTGCTCTTTCAATGGCATCCGTGAAGGTCCGGGTTAGAATGAACCTTCAGTATCCCATGCTTGTCGTAAGAGGCGACTAACGGGTTCGAGTGGTCAGGCTCGCTGACTGGGTTGACACATGTCATCGGTTCCCAATTGCGTAGATCGATGTTCATGCTGTTGATCACTGGATTATCTGGTCCAGACTCGATTATTTACAGACCGCCGCCATATAGCTGGAATATTGCTGAGTGTGGCGTCAAATTCAACTCACTCACTCTTTAAATGGTGATATTTCACACAGTAGTTTTCATGGGCATTCCTGATTATTCAAGTCGTTTCCAATTCATGACTAGAATCTTAAACATAGATTCGTATTTCTTCCTAAGCTTTGTTTTATTTTATAAATACCTGTTTACGATGCAATCGCGAAAATTACAGGTAGGTATATAAGTGTTTGGTTGAAGCACGAGTAACGTATCACTCAATTTCAATCAGAAAGGCAGTCCGCCATAATCTGACTTTAGGTCATCACCAAAGCCAACCCCGGAAATTGATCTTCTACATATGTTTGATACCAGTTTTCTCGCGTGTATTTCTCAGGTGTGTGAGCATATAGTTTATGATGGTATTATCCTGTTGTAGGCTTGCTCAATGTAAAAACTCTGCCTGGACAGATCCATTTTCAACAGATATTTTTATTCAGCATCTGGCGGCTTGACGTACACTAAAATACAGATGCCCAACACTAAACACTAAACAAATTTGTACCACCTCCCTTACAAGCGTGGACTATATGTTATCATCATGGGGGTTCATGTCTCGAGGTTTTATGACTACGTATTTGGTTGTTATGTTTGATTGGTAATAATTATAAATAACCTTTTAAAGGCACCATTACCATTTGCAAGATTGCGCAGTTATTTTACCTCTCATAAACTCTGTTGTTTTCTTATGATTCGGAGTAAAATGCTCATGCTTGTCATTGAGGCTTTAATGTTACACATGGAGATGTATGCGTGTCATGCTTCAGATGTCTAAATCGTAACACGAAACTTGCTGCTCGGAAGTAAACAATCCGCGAAGTCCCTCCAACATAGTGCAGGAGAAATTGGGACGAGAATACAACACACGAGGCCGTAGTTCTATTGACTTTTGACAGTTGAAGACAACAAGATACTCGTAGATGCTTATGCTTGACTGCCACTGTCGACCAAGAGAAATGGAAGAGCTTGATAACATTGTTTACATGGCCTTACCTTAAATGTTGGTAGAGGTGTAGTTGGCCATATGTGGCACGAATTGCCTTTTTTAGGGGAGTGTCGGTGCAGATAATGCTGAGAAGCGGATTGATATTGACGGGTATCGCCAGGTGAGTGGATCAAATTCTCTTCGTACATTATATTTTCTGTTTGTACACATTCATGTATGTATGTCCTCCCGAGAGGGTACGGAAGTCCCAAAACATTCCCAGTAAATTAAAACTCCACTTTTTTAATCGTAGAATATGTGTTATTTTAATGCATGTCTAGATTTGTCGCAATTGCTAACAGTTGAAGGGATGATGTAAATCCAGCTGGAGCCCATGCAGGAAGCAAATGTACTGTAAGTCCCCATGGTCCCTAGTATGGTGATCTACCTTCAGTTGTTGGCAATATATAGCCTGTTTATATTATATTGTCATCTATAGTTAAACTGTTTTAGATCTAATGACTAGTTTTAAATTCGAATCTGTGATAATCTAGTTATTTTACTTTCCATCGTGGACAGGTTTTTTACAATTTACCATTAATTACTATGTGTAAAATTAATTGTTCTCGTCACGATATGGCTGAAATATTGCCGATGTGACGATAAATTTTAACTCACTCACTCACTTTTTTAACCGCAGTATATATGTCATCTTAATTATGGCTAGATTAGCAATGCTTGCTAACATCTGAAGGGATGGTGTAAACCCAGCTAGAGTCCATGCAGGAAGCAAATGTACTGTAAGTCCCCATGGTTTCTAGTATGGTGATCTACGTTCAGTTGTTGGCAATCTATAGCCTGGTTTTCTATTGTACTGTCTTCTGTAATTAAGCTGTTTTAGAGTTACATACTAGTTTTGTCTGTGATATTCTAGTTAGTTTTAATGTCCTTCGTTGACAGTTTTGTTTTTAAAATTACCTTTATGTATTCTAGAATTATAACTTGTTTTAAGTCACGATATGGCTGAAATATTGCCGATGTGACTTTAAATCTTAACTCACTCACTCATGTATGTATGTAGATGGTAACAGACAACTGGAAGCGGGTATAAGCCTAAGCATGCTCAAAGCGCACAGTTACAATTTGATAATTATTACCTCGGATAACCCAAGCTGCCTGTGAAGCGCTAGAAGGTTAGTAGTCATATGATTTATGGCACCGGGTACCCATTTTTTCTGCTTGGTGAACCGCGGCAATTTTGAACAAACTCACTTTCCTAAGTTGGGACCACATGTGCTTCGTTGTGTGGCAGGACTGAAGTCCTTGAAACCCTCAGGAGTCAAGCTGCCAAACAGTCATCCACCCAAGACTCTCCGCGCTCAACCTTGCTTAACTTCAACTGATCATGTGTATATATTTGACACGTCATCCCTGTTATATTAAAAATTCTTCAACCTATCTTGATTTTGAAACAACATTGTTGATACTTATAGCTATCTTTATGTTTTGAAGTGACGAAATCAGAGTGAGGTCTTGCATTGTTAACCATTTGCCTTTGTTCGCATGCAGAAGGTTGCAGCTCTACTGGGTATGGTATCCGAAAGCCTCTTTCTTAGATTACAAGGACAGAATATAGTGTTAATATGCGTCGGGTTTAGGTACCAATTTTCAACAGTCTTTACTCTCCTTTATTCAGAAATCCACGTTAATCATAATCTTTGTTTTAGCAGTGACTTCATCAGCGTATAACATGAAGCTTTTGGGCAGCCTCGCATTGTTAACCATCTACCTTTGCTCGCAGGCAGAAAGTCTCATCTCTACTGGGTATGATATCGAAATGTCTCTTTCTCAGCTTATAATGAAAAATATCATGATTTCAATTACTCATTATATATAATACCTCGTTTTTTGTAACAGTGTGTTTAATTGTAATGTAAATATGTATCGTTCCAGGGTTATCCAAATAACCTTCATAAAGCATGTCATTCGATGGTCAATTGTTACTTTTTACACATTCTGCTTTCAGTCGAGGACTACTACTTATCGACAAAGGTATGTGTAGTATGGTGCATTATACTATGAATCTTTTATGACTATGAATTCCTTTTCAGATCTCCCGTTGTCATACTGATGAAATTAATGTGTTTTATGCTGTATTATCTATCTCAGTGTGGGGTAAACTACGGTTATAACGAACTCAAAGGGAAACAACCTCTAGTTCGTTATGAGTAACGGTTTTTCTACTATAGTCCGTTTGGTTCAAAAGCGGACCGATGAATTGCAATCTAACTCGAAAACTAATAAACATATAATACTCAATGAAAGGCTGATCATAATCAAAACATCAGACCAACTCTGTGAGTTTTTTTCAGAATTTATGTCCTAAAACTAAAAACGTTGTTTAACAAACTATCATCAAAATATTTACACAGTTCACTATTTGTTGACCTGTGAAAGTCCGGGTTAGAATATTGGCCATCAGTAGCCAATGCTTGTCGTAAGAGGCGACTACCGGAATCGGGTGGTCAGGCTCGCTGACTTGGTTGACCATGTCATCGGTTCCCAATTGCGCAGGTCGATGTTCATGCTGTTGATCACTGGATTGTCTGGTCCAGACTCGATTATTTACAGACCGCCGCCATATAGCTGGAATATTGCTGAGTGCGGCGTAAAACTCAACTCACTCACTCACTATTTGTTACGAGGGAGGAATACAAAGAGAGGAACAGCCAGATGTGTGAGAAAGTATGGAGACGGCACAGCACAGGTAAATGAATCAATAGCTTTGTGCACGTGCCCCCCACCCCCCAACCCCGTACACCTGGCTGTTCCTCTCTATCTCTTTTTGCATTCCTCCCTCGTGACAAATAGTGAACTGTGTCAACATTTTAATGATTTTTATTTTTAAGGACATAAGTTCTGCAAACAAAATCACAGAGTCTGATGTTTTGATTATGATCAGCGTTTCATTGAGTATTATGTGTTTATTAGTTTTCGAGTTTTCGATTGCAATTCATCGGTCCGCTTTTGAGCCAAACGGACTATAACATGAACATCAAGTGGCCAAGACAAAACGAACAGTTCGTTATAAGTGTGTTCGTTATATACATAGTTTATGTATGGGAATTTCAGTGGTATCCGTCTCATTGCGAAAATGTATCTATTTCCCGTCGTTTTGTTATCACTCTCTAAATATCGTTGCTAACTGACCTTCGACAATGCTTCCATATGTTGGTCATGACACCACTTTGGACATCCATGGAACTTACACCATGCTTGCACGTTTTGTCATCTATCTTGTATCAAATAAAACATATATTGTATATATTATGGTATTACTATTAGCAGTAAATCATGTTGCAATCAAGGATATGCATGGCATGATCGTACAGGCTTTTAACTCCGTTGCAAATCATTTTTTTTTTCACTATAAACATATTTTAAACAGAGAATGTGTTCTTTAAATGTAGATTTATTCCATTTCATTATAGTAATAGCTACTGGCCAATACGACATCGTCCTCTGTTGGTTACCTTGTCATTTTGGAATTTCTGGTAACACAATGTCCGAAACTTTCAATGTTAAATTTACACTTACCAGATTTTTAAACGCAGTATTTTCCTTCTATTAAACTGTTGGCTAAACTTGTCATACAATCGCATGCAGCTGAAGTGGTGGTGTAAATTCAACTAGGGTCCATGCATGTAACAAAGGGTACTGTAAGTCCCCATGGTCCCTAGTATGGTGATCTACCTTCAGTTGTTGGCGATCTATAGCCTGTTTCTTTATATTGTATTGTCCAAATAGTGCTATCAGTTTTAACTTTCCACACTAGTTTTAGTTGTAACTGTTATATTCTATTTGTTTTACTGTCCTTCGTCGACAGGTGTTTTTAATACACATATATTCCATTTCAATGTTAAGTATGTTCTCGTCACGATATGGCTGAAATATTGCCGATGTGACGTTAAATATTAACTCACTCACTCACTGACTCATTATATTTATATTTATTATTCAGTTATCATTTCAACTATTTGATGATATCTACTTGTGTTCTTGATCTCACAAGATGTGTTAATGCCCTGTTATGTTCGCCTGGTTACACCATGTGAAGCCCATTTCGGGTGTCGCTGTGGTATTGCTTGTATATAGCTGAAACCGTACTCAAACACTCACTCCAATTTTGTATTTTTTCAGATACATCACAAAATCAAAAACAGTGTATGAGTGTTGTCCAGGTTGGAAGTCTAAGAACAATGTAGACTGCAACTTAGGTATTGATGTACAGCGTATTATTATTTGGTCCAAATGCTTCTGTGGTCTGAGATTAGATAATTATCCTTTGTGAGATTGAACAAAAGACATATTATTCTCCCTGACAGAGATATTGCAGTGGATGAAAGAAGGAGTGAGTGAGCAAGAGAACGAACGAACCAGCAACCAGTTCTAGTTTGCTTTCTCTATTCGATGCCTTCTAATGTACGTTTCTGTAGTGGCCAATTAATGATAACATCCGTATGTGAGTCCATGCAGGTAGCAAAGGTACTGTAAGTCCCCATGGTCCCTAGTATGGTGATCTACCTCGGTTGTTGGCAATCTATAACCTGCTATTTTAATATTGTATTAGATTTAATTACTAGTTTTAATTTTCTATCTGTGATAATCTACTTGTTTTACTGCTTCGTTGACGGGTGTTTATAATTTACCTTCAATTATTATTAATCTATAACTTGATTTAGTCACGATATGGCTGAAATATTGCCAAAGTGACTAAAATATTAACTCACTCACTCACTCACCGTAAGTGAAAGTATATAATGTGTGAATCTCACCACGAACACTAGAGTTATTGATATATTTGAATTGAATATGTAGTGTGCCATAAGTAACTTTAAAGTAGTTTCAAGCTGGTTAAAGAGTTTCTTTGCCTTGCAGCTTCATCATAGATGGTGTCTAGTTATTCTCAGGCAAAGTGCGTACAGCTACGGAAGCTGTCTATATGTCAGTAATACTTTGGTTTGTTGTTTATCGCCACTCTCAGCAATATTCCAGCTATATGGCGGTGGTCTGTAAATAATCGAGTGTGGACCAGACAATCCAGCATGAGCATCAATCTACGCGATTGGTATACGATGACATGTATAAACCAAGTCAATGAGCCTGATCACCTAATCCTGTTAGTCGGCACTTACAACAAGCATGCGTTACTGAAGATCAATTCTAACCCGGATCTTCACGGGTTCTTCAATAATACTCATTACGAAGCATACACAGTTGTTTCACTCTGTTGCCAGGACCTCTATTCAATTATAGCCAATACAGCACCATTTACCATGTTAGAGCTGAGTTTGTTGTAATACTGAAGAAATGGCTATCTAATGCAGTTGGATTTCTTCCAACAATAAACTGTAGTGCAATGAAACAAAGTCTCATCCAAACACCCTAGCTGTTGACAAATGTTACGCCACGCCTTGCTATGCCAAATTATTATTTGCAGTCGCTGTTGAGTTTGTTGTGTATCCAAAGAAGTAATTATCCAATACAACTGCATTTCTTCCAACAATAAACTGTAGTGCAATGAAACAAAGTCTCTTCCAAACGAACACCCTAGCTCGGGACAAATGTTACATCAAACCAAATAATGCCAAATAATAATTTGCAGCCGCTGTCGTAATGATCTCATAAATGACAAACAAACCTCTCTTCAATAGAAGAGTAACGTATTGAAACATCATGGTGTTACCATGTTGTCTTCTTCAGCCATCTGTTACGGCAAGGACAACACAAATGGAGCTTGTAACCAGAGAGGAAGCTGTGTTGCACCAAACAAGTGTTCCTGTCACACTGGGTATACTGGATCACAATGTGGTAAGCATACGGCTTAGCAAGTGTGCTTATTATACAAGGGGGCGGTGGGGTAGCCTAGTGGTTAACGCGTTAGCTCGTCACACCTAAGACCCAGGTTCGATTCCCCACATGGGTACAATGTGTGAAGCCCATTTCTGGTGTCCCCCGCCGTGATATTGCTATAATATTGCTAAATGCGGAGTAAAACCATACTCACTCACTCTTGTACAAGACGTATTGGAATTGAATTATGTGATTTCCGATTGAATATATGTTAGTATCACGAATTTCAGTTACAGCTTGTAGGCTGCGTTTTTGTCAGGTGCATCGACGTTTGACAGTAAGTTACTCGTCGTAAATGGGTTGTTATCGATAGGGTATAGACGGGTGCAGGTGTGTTCTGTCTGATTAGCCTCACGGGTGCCCGTTAAAGCGGAGTTTCCTAGAGCCAGGGTTTTATATACAGGCTTTTGATCGGTTGGATTGTGTGGCAGTATGCGAAATAGTTTCCAACTATTGCTAGCCAGTCAGGCCAGCTATGCCTGAAAGTAACTAGCCCACCTGAAATTTGAATGTACAAGCTAAGCAAAAGATTACAAAAATAGATGAGAAAAGGATATTGTTGGCATGACCCGGGTTTCATCATTAAGCTGCTAATAGTAACATTTTTATCAGGCCAAAATCTTGAATGATTTAAAAGTTTATTATAACTTAACAAGTCGGAGACAGTGGTATATTTACAAAATGACCCCTTGACAATTCACAAGCCAGTCAGGCCAGTGACTGTGGCGATTTACAGGCCCGACCGGATTTTTATTAGCCACGGGCCAGCGGGCCAGTGGCATTTTTTGGCACACTGCTGTGTGGAGTTGTTATCAGCACCTTATGCAGTGATAGTAAGCCCTTGCTTGTTGCCCCGCCTGTAACGTTAGGTATCAGTGTGATCCGTGTCAAGTGTAAAACATGTGGTAAGAACAAAGTCCACATTGTCCGTGTTACAACAAGTATGTTTGATCTGAATGTCGTGATTGTCAGATATTGTATATGTGTTCCTACCAGTGGGGAAGATGGGGGCGGCTAGCAATTTCTGTGCATTAAAACTTTCACAGAATGAGTAACACGTGGTGCTTGAATGACAGCATTGCTGGTAGTGGTAACTAAAGCGTATTCATATAATTTTTTATTTAGTACCTTTTCTTGACTTACAGGTAAAGAATAATACGTTCAAATAGTACATATTGATTGCATATTATATATGAATAATATTTAAATCTGTGTCGTCATTAGAGCGAATGCATTGTTTTCCAGAAAAATGTCTTGATGCTAGGGGAGATCCTGACTATTCCATCTGGTGGCAGGTTACGAGCCATCCGGACTGCGCTTGTACGTATCCTGAAATCGTTACATGTATACAAACACATATGAGATAAAATATATGAAGTTGAAAATGATATATATGCTCAACAAATATAATGTATAACCATTTAGGAAACCCCACACCATCACTTAACCATCACCAAATGGATCAAGTGGTAGTCTCTACCTAGCCCGACGTTCTTGCCTGTGCCAGTCTGTGAGTGAGTGAGTGCATTTTACGCCGCACTCAGCAATATTCCAGCTATATGGCGGCGGTCTGTAAATAACCGAGTCTGGACCAGACAATCCATTGATCAACAGCATGGGCATCGATCTGCGCAATTGGGAACCGATGACATGTGTCAACCAAGTCAGCGAGCCTGACCACCCGATCCCGTAAGTCTTACGACAAGCGTGGGCAAATCTCTGAGAGGGGTCGTTTATTAGAACGACGGTTCCTCACACCAGCAGCCTCCTCTGATGGTGCTGGTGGAAAGTCAGATTCCCACTCTCCATTACCGGGTCATTAAGACCATGGGATTGTGTTTTGCCAAACACATTTAGACTCGTTTCACAGTCATTGTCTTCCTCGGTCCTCCTCGATCCGGTGGCCACTTGCTCCCCCTATCAGTCGACAGTGTGCTTAATGTTCGAGGTAGCATCCATCTTCGCCATGCATGCCAATAACTTACCATTGTGTATTTGCATTGTGTCTTCGTCTGTAAGAAAACATATTTTAGTGCTGTCATCTTTAAGACTGTACAGAAACCTGTAGTGCACATACCACAATTATGAAATTCATACCCAATGTGCAAGTTCGCTTTGTTGCACGTGAGCGTGCAACCCCTAGGTTTTGAGATATTCTGTGAAGCACGTGTTTTACAGGTGAATACCAGTGTGCTGTGGTATGATCCCCTGTTTGGACCAAATGTTTTACAACCACGCCCTTCTGTTCAGGTGGTGCCTACATTATGTTGATATATAGACATTGTGTATTTTCCTTAAGATCTGTTGATCTTGTGAAACTGTGTTGTTTGTTATATCAGTGACGTGTTCGTGGAAGAACCAGTGGTGTTGGCCTGGGGACTGCCCTGATATAAGATTGAGGACGTCCTGCAAATGTCGGAACGGGTTCATTAAGCAAGATGCAGGAGCCAGCTACACAAAGTGTGATCGTGAGAGGAATAAGGGGCTCCCAAATATATAATATGTTTTCGGATATATATTAAGTATAAGTTAAATATGGATTACAAAATTGCCTTCCTGCGGTATTGCACTTCACCTTTCAATTTACTGTTTGTCTGTTCGACTCTGAAATGCTATATATACTCCCCATCAAAAGTTTAGACTCACTAGTGTAAATGTAGCCAGTTACTTGTATAAAGTCAACTGTTCTAAAATACATTTTGCAAAACTGTCCATACTGTTTAAAGGTACTGTTGACACATGAACTGATGTATTGTAAAACACATTTGTAACGTTGACAAGATTATTGTCATGAGTTCAATAAATGATTTAAATTAGTGAAAATTGACGAATTCGTAACAAAACTTTACACTAAAACGCAGCTATTCACATGCATGATATTTGCACATGCTTTACAGCAATTTGATGCCTGATCCTCGTGCAGTACATCTGCATAAGGTTTGCAGTTGGTTCCCCAAGTTAGTGGAGATATTCATCTTCGATGTAACCATACATATATACATAACATATAGTGAGTTATTTAAGTGAGCCTAACCTTTTGATTGGTAGTATATATGTCTGCCAATAACCCAGGGGAACGTAAGTCTGGAACTAAATGAAAACAATACATAAAAAATGGTATTTACAGTTGCTGAGAAGCCCCAACTGCTAACGTGCCATCTTGGGATGACCGATGAACATCACAACGTGAGAAACTCCACACATGGCTCTCACCCTGGATGTGAATATGAATCCGATACATATGTCAACTTGAATCCCACATCTGTACACCTTATTTTGAGCGCCAAGTTAGACAATCTTGACATCAGAAACCCCCCAAACTACATCTACGAGCAAGGATACGGAATAATATATTCAAAGGCGACCCTGTCGAAGGTTTCTATTACAGGTATAACTGCCTAATCATTTTTTCCTGAAAGCGATATTCCAAATACACTCACTCGTAAATATTCTCGTGATTTTGAACAAATAATGATCTTTTCATAAGATTAAATTTGTTGGAATTTCGTTTGATCCATATGGCAATGAGCATTAATAATCATATTCCTGGGGTTTCTATTACAGGTATAACTGCCTGTCATTTTTTCCTGAAAGTGATATTCCAAATACACTCACCCAATGGATCATACTCCCGTAAATAGTCTCGTCATTTTGAATAAATAATTATGTTTTCATAAGATTAAATTTGTTGGAATTTCGTTTGATCCATATGGCAATGAGCAATAATAAACATATTCCTGGGGTTTCTATTACAGGCCTGTCATTTTTTCCTGAAAGTGATATTCCAAATACACTCACCCAATGGATCATACTCCCGTAAATAGTCTCGTCATTTTGAACAAATAATTATGTTTTCTGTTATGAGATTAAATCTGTTGGAATGTCGTTTGATCCACGTAGTAATGAGCATTAATAAAAATATTGTAACATATGTTATATTTGGGATTACACTTTCTTAGTAAAGTACAGATTCTAGTACTTTTTTGGGTGGAGTCCCATCCGGGATTCGAGGCACCTAATCGCCAACACACAAAGTCAGACGCCTAGACCCCTCTGCCACCGCAGCTTCCACCGCGGTCTGGGCGTCTGACTTTGTGTGCTGGCGATTAGGTGCCTGATTCTGAGGGTGTGGGTTCGAATCCCGGATAGGACTCAACCCAAAAAAGTACTAGAATATGTACTTTACTAAGAAAGTGTAATCCCAAATGTAACATGTGTTACATTTGATCACTTTCTAAAAAGGCATTGTGCATTTCATTAAAAAAATATTCCTGAGGCATTAATTTTACATTATAGGACCATATTCATATTGTTTCATGCACTAATCGAAAGAAAATGCGAACAGATATTGATACGCATTATAAACTTTTTTTCTGTGTGCAGGACTTGAAACTAGCTTATCCACAGTTATATTGTCCGGCGGAAGTGACTGCTCAAAAGCGCTTGGGAACACTTCACCATCTTCTTCCTTGACATGTTCACGGACTATAACAGTACCTACAGACATGTATGATGGAGAAAGGTATGACCATGTGACAAAACAGTGCAATACTATTATAAGCATCTAAGTGTAAGAAAATTAATATCATTGCCAACACATGCTAAAACATCATTATTACATTATCTGGCAATGTGCATCTATTTCGCTTGAAGTTTAAGAATAAAAAAGATTGTTACAGCAAAGAATTTATAGATGACTAGTAACTACTCATGTAAACTTTAAATGCATTACAGGCCTGTGGCCTTTTTGAAGTACGGAATAAAGATTGATTGATTGACTGACAAAACAGTATGAGAAATGAGATCTGTCTTTTCATATATGAATATGTATTAGGGAAGTTGGTAGAGAAGATTGAATTTAGCCTTAAGTATACTATCCCAAAAAAGAAACGCATAGGCGATTTGTATTTTCAAAAATCTATCGTCAAAATATGTAACAGAAGTGTTGGTAACATGATTTGCACAAGTGAAAAATCGACATTACCTAAAAATGTTGATTTTGATGAGATTTCTCACAAGGATTAAAAAGGCATCGCCACAACGCAACAGAAATCACTTTCCAGTTGAAATTGGGTGGCCGGACTTCGGAGGATATCCGGTCAAACTGTACGGAACAGGTTGAAAGAGATTGGTCTGAGAGCTAGACCCGACGTCGGGACTGTGCTACGTCGTCACTATCGCGCTCAACGTTATCTAAAAGTATCCACTTGGTTGTATAGACATTACCTTCTTCTAAACTGGTGTAAAAATTCATTCACTGAAGTCTATTTGTGCACGAGTTATACATGTTTGAAAATACAACATTTTCGCAACAGATTTCTGGCCTATGCATTTCTTTTTTTGGGGATAGTATATATTGAGAATCTAATGTCTTTAACTAACCATCAAACAGCCAGTTTCCTTATACTGATTTACCCACCAGGCCTTGAACTATAAGAGTCAACAAAACTAAAAAGTGAATCTTTTGAAAAAAATATGTAGTGGGCATTGGAGAAATTCGACACGTCAATGACCAAATTGATACTCCATTCCATTCTTTATCCCAATAAACCATGTGTTTCCGTTTTGAATCGTGAAAATTTGACTTGAGCTTGAATACATGTGTGACAAATGCCAATGATCAACGCGAGGGAGTTATGATTTATTGCTATATCCGCTGTATTTCCCTCATTTCAACTGGGACCTGAAAGGTTTATGCAATGTAATGCATTAAAACAAGCCAGATCGTATTTGAATCAAGTATTAGAGTGGGAACATATTATAATTGTTAATAGACAAAAACGATTTGAAACCGGACGATTGAGCACGTGTAACCAATGGTGGATTCCATTCCATTTGTATTAAACTAGAAAAAAATACACCTTCAAAATTATATTTGATGGAATTGCAAATTTTGGTATGTGTCATATATTTCCTGTTTTTCTTTGATCAGGTGAATACTTGACTCGCTTTTGCGTGAACGTTAGGCCAAAGCTAATTTGAGTTGTTAAGTGATCAATGAGAACGAATTGAACATTTTGTCAATATCGGTAGTATTTCTGCCAATGCAATCCAGTGAAACTCGCCAACGAAGGACAGTTACACGATTATCATCCGCACAGGCATTTCACCTTTCACGTACGCTTCTTAATAATTGCCGCAATGATGTTTAGTGGCTGTTCTTCATGAAGACATGAAGACGAAAAGCTGTGAAGTAAAACGATTGAACTGACAAACGTCGTTTTTTATCGAGTCAGCAAAATTGATACTATTTTAAACTAGTATTTGACCATGAAGGTCCGGTTTTCTCCATACAAGCAATGTGTGAAGTGCATTCTTGGTAATAAACAATACCATTTTTTCTGATATATTAATATCAAATGCATGTTTATATTATTCAGGTTGTGTGTACTGTTTTCGGCTACTGGAGGGGCATTCTTTAGGTATCAAGATTTTGACAGACACCATATTGGAACCCAGGTTACGTCTCAACAAACGTCCACCAAACATGTCTGTTTCCGGTATGATATGGGTCAACCTGTCCACTGCTCCAAGCTGAGAACGGGACATTGTTCATCACAGCCACTGGAACTAACAACCCGCATAACACGTTCAGGTGTGCCACAAATATATCTTTTTACAACACGATTCATTTTTGAAGATATTTTAACCGTGAACATATGTTCATCATTGTTCTGTTTATCATGCAATGTTCTTGTTGTAGGTTTGATCCATGTCAAAACCTCTGGTTGGACAGACCCAGTACCACACGGTGGAAAGGCTGATGCAGTTTCTGGCTTGAAATCCATTAGAATAATGATTCTCAGCACTGTAGATAATGGAAATATGATTGATGTTCTACATGCGCCACTTAAAGGTCTGGATCTAACGTATAACACGTTTACTTTGGATAAATCTATTCGCCTCCCAGACAAACCTGGCCTCTATGCTGTCATCTTGGAGGTTCACGACAAGGCTGGAAACATCCAATCAGTCAGACGTTTTGTGTTGTATGACAAATCATCCAAACTGATGGCAATGCCATCAAAACCCCTTCAGGTCGTGTCCGCAACACAGAAATCTAACTATCAATGGCAGACAAACCTTGGATCAGTGTGCATTGACTGGAAAGGCCGTTACTACAATAATGAAATGAGGGTCAATAATCCTTTGAGTCCAGTTCGTCCCCAGGTTGGAGTGGAAACCGACTATGACCAAACTACTGGAGTCCTTAATATCTACGGGACTCCTAATGTTGATGGCATCGTTGAGGCAAAGTATTCTGTCTCTGTCAACCAGGGAGCTAAATCACACTGGACACTGGTTCCTCACTTCACCCATCAGTCTGTTTGTATCACACCAAAACTGCTTGATGGTCAGACGTATGATATTTCTGTTGAGATGAAAGACTTTCTTAACAACTCAATGGAGGAATCGGTACGTGTCCACATTGACTCTACTGTTCCTGATATATCCAACTTGTGGCTCGTTAAAGATGGAAACAAGCAGGTGTACGTCCACGACAGCCTCGACCTTTCTACCATGGTGCTCCACTTTGATGTCAGTGACCCTCACAGTGGTATCGAATCCCTGGAGTGGTATCTTGGCATCAAAGACTCAACAGAAGACCTTGGCCATGGTGTGTTGGCGGTAGAGAAGATGAATGGCCAGGTGAGTGAGTGAGTTTAGTTTTACGCCGCTCTCAGCAATATTCCAGCTAAATGGCGGCGGTCTGTAAATAATCGTGTCTGCGCGAGACAATCCAGTGATCAACATCATGAACATCGCTCTGCGCAATTGGGAACCGATGACATGTGTCAACCAAGTCAGCGAGCATGACCACCTGATCCCGTTAGTCGCTTCTTACGACAAGCATTGTCACCTTTTGTGGCAAGCATGGGTTGCTGAAGATCTATTCTACCCCGGATCTTCACGGGTCTGAATGGACAGGTAAAGAGGGTCACTCATACATAACACGTCAATTAGTAATCAGACTGAATGTTTTTAAAATTTTCAATTTTATAATACAGAAAAAGATTTGTTTCAAATCATGAACAAAACATCATTTCTACATTTATATTTCTTGTTTTGAAGGCGTGTGCATCATACTTCGACTGCTACTGTCCTTCTGTTGGTGAATGCCAGTTTCATAACCACACTGTCAAGATGGATAGTCTGCTGCCCAACAAGATCGATCCTTCTCTAAACAACAAGGCCGTCTACTTCACAGTCACTGCAACGAATGGAGCAAAGATGAGCAGCTCCGACCACCTTGATATCCTTGTCGAGGCATCTGCCCATGTCTAATGATGATGTTCTTATTAAACTGAAACTGAAAACTAATTAGCATATATCCACTTACAGCTTACTGATTACACATTTACACTGAATAAAGGTAATACAAACCTTTAAAGTTTTCCTCCCTATGTTGAAATTTTTTAAACATGTTTGTACATGAACGATGCGATGAAAGGACATGATATCTGTTCCTCGATGCAGCTTGGTGTGGAATTGGCAATGGTCGAATTATATTCCTGAAAATGTAGAATTCTGTTATGAAACGTTTTAAATAAATGAAATATGACAACGTTACGTTTAGGTAATTATTGAACTTTGGAATAATTGTAGAAAGCAAGAATTCGAAAGTATTAGGTTAAATGAGATGGATGACTTTAACATAATGTTGTTTCTTTTGATGGATATATGTTTGTTTGTGTATGAGTATATGGGATTGGTAAAAATGTCCAACATACACTGCGGACGGCCTTCTACAAAAACACAGAGGCATTTTCAAATCAGCATTTCATAAGACTTCTAATAACAATTACAGAAAGGAACCAAAGCTTTAAAACACTATGTGCGTCTTTCTAGGCCTCTTCCTTTTCTACGGTGCGTCTTTACAACGCATCACTACATACGATTCAAAGAGAAATTGTTGGATTGGTTAGGGAAGTAAGCATGATAGTTATTAACTTTGTATACACTTCCCACGCCCATCTTTCAAGTAGCCATGAAGATTTACTTGTATGAAGTGAAATTCAGCAGCATCAAGTCACACAGTGATTTATGTAATTGTACCATAAAACAAGAACACATGTTGACCTATGATAGTACAGGACCGTTCATAATTTATGTCTGAAGGGATTGATAGTAATGTCAAGGTGAGGTCACACATTTTGTTCTGGGGAAGAAGGGGGGATCATCAATTTTGTACACATGCATTGGGGATGGGATCATTGATTTTATACATTATAAGCAAGGGGCTCACTTACTTTGTTCATAAATTTTATGGGGGGGGAGGGTCATTCACATTATACATGCTTCTCCATAACACACACACACACACACACACACATACATTATGAACGATCCCTATCACTTACCTTCACAGAATGGAAGACCTCTCCAGATCTCAAATCGGCTATACCCAGTGCCTTGATCTTCTACATATGTATAAAAGATTTGTCTCTATATGAGGCATGATGCCCCATGGATTTCTGCATAATGGGGATTATTGTCATCACGTCTGCAAACAAACATCATTCAGGGTCGTCAGGGCAGCCTAATGGTTAAAGCGTCCGCCCGTCACGCTGAAGACCCAGATCCGATTTCCCACATGGGTACAATATGTGATGCCAATTTCTGGTGTTCCCCGCCGTGATATTGCTGGAATATTGCTAAAATGGGGCGTAAACCATACTCAATCACTTTCAGTGACCGAGACAATCAGCGAATAACTTGTTGCCCTGCATGTTAAAGGATAGGGTGGGGGGGTGACACATCTTTTTACAGTTTAAACTGGTGTGAAAACAAAGCTTATCGACAGCACAATATTCAGGAGACTTGATACAAAGACTGATGACTGTAAGTATAAATGAAGATTAAATGGTGATAGTCTTTGTCCTACACCTTTATAGAATAGACATTAATAAACCTCTTGAAGCACCCCATAAAGGACAAATTGAGAGAGTGAGTTGGGTTTTACGCGGCTTTTAGAATTGTCCAAGCAATTTCACGGCGAGGGACAGCAGAAAAGGGCTACACACATTGTACCCCTGTTGGGAATCGAACCCGGGCCTTCGGCGTGACGAGCAAACGCTTTAACTACTAGGCTACCCCACCGTCAGGACAAAATGAACTGATACGTGTTCATATTGATTCTGTTATAAGTGATATGTGGAACATATGGCTCGTGAAGGATGGAAACAGGTATAGGTCCACGACAGTCTCGACCTTTCTACAATGGTACCCCATTTCCAAATGGAGTGTTGTCAGTGAGAACTGTGAATAGCAAGGTAATGAAAAGTACAATTGATGAGTCTTACATTTTTCATTTCCAGCCTCATCAGATGCTATCCATTTCGTTTTCCTGGAGTGCAAAACGAAATGTGTAAGAAAGGTGTTTGGAATAATGAACGAGCAATTCTTCACATTTCATTATTAACATATCAATCATTAATTGAGTATTCATTTTGAAGGCATGTATTTCCACTGCAACTTTTCCATCGTTTGGGGAGGGCCAGTTTCATAACTTAATAGCTTAATAGTCTTGTGACAAATAAGATCATTACAGAAATTCGTGGCAACAAACGGAGCAGGCCTGAGGAGCATCAACCACCTTGACATCCTTGTGGACGCATCTCCACGTGTTGCAGGAACCGTCTAACAATTATCCTACAGGAATCTGACCTGACCATGTCGATGTGTGTGACTGCTTCATGTATTAAGTAAAATCATACAGACATTGTGGCAATATTCAAGATTAGATTCTATTTCAATTTCACATATTGCACATTCAATGAAGGATATCATAGATTTGAAAATGAATATTGGGTTATAAAATCCGTTCCTGGAAATATATAATATGCCGTTGTTATGTTTCAATGTATATGATATCCAGTTTATTGTCTGTGTACTTGACGTTTATTGTTGACTAAAAAGTATTAATAATAACCTAATTTCCGAATTTTATCAAATATTTACTTTTATACTCAACATGTGTTACCTTTATACGTGTCGAGTTCGAATAAAATAGTCACCCTAGACACTGAGGGCATTAATTATGGTTATTGATGTTTGAGACGGATGTGGCTTCATTTGTTTTAATGCCACCCTTGTAGAAACGCCCTAAATACCCCCACCCACCACACCAAGATATGGTAGACGTTGTTGATTCATTGACAGTGTCATCCCCCGAAAATGGGGGAAGGCTTGATAACATTGTTTACGTGTTCTTACCTTAAATGGGGCGGTGGGGTAGCCTAGTGGTTAAGACGTTCGCCCCTCACGCCGAAGATCCGGGTTCGATTCCCCACATGTGTACAATGTGTGATTCCCATTTCTGGTGTCCCCCGCCGTGATATTGCTGGAATATTGTTAAAAGTGGCGTAAAACTAAACTCACTCACTCTTACCTTAAATACTGAGCAAGGTGTAGTTGGCCACGTGTGGCAGGTAGTGCCTTTGTGAGGGGAGTATAAGTATAAGAGTATAAGTGTGATTAAGAGGAACACTTTTTGTGGATAGACAACTTCTTTATTGCATTATATGCGGCGTTTCGGTGTAGGTCCTAACACCGTTATCAAGCAAGTTATCATCATTTGGTTGATAACGGCGTTAGGATCTACACCGAAACGTCGCATTTATTGCAATAAAGAAGTTGTCTATCCATAAAAAGTGTCCCTCTTCATCAAGTCATCTTCTAAATGTTGCTTAAAGAAGTTAAGTGTGATTACAAAACGTATCAGTAAACAAAGAAAGAAGGGTAATATTCTCAATAAGTATATATATATATTTACTGTGACTTACCTGAGAGGGTACGTAAGTCCCAAAACATTTCAAGTAAATTTAAGTGTACCAGGTTCTTAATCGTAGTATTTTTGTCATTTTAATGTATGGCTAAATCTCAGCATAAACGCCAGTGGCTGTAGGGATGGTGTAAATCCAGCTAGGGTCCCTGCAGGTAGCACAGGCACTGTACGTCCCCATGGTCCCTAGTATGGTGATCTACCTACATTTGTTGGCGATTGCTAGCCCGTTTTTACATTGTGTTGTTCAAAAATAGTTTTCCACTTTTAACTCACTCACTAGTTTTAACTCATTTTGTGATAATCTAGTAATTTCACTGTCCTTCGTTGACGGGTTTTTATATATTATATGTATGTATTATGAATTTAGAACTAGTTTTAGTCACTATATGGCTGAAGTATTGCCGATGTGACTTTAAATTTTAACTCACTACTGTGACTTAACTCATTATGATGTCGATATAAAGCAACGTCACAGTATAATCTGTAAGTAATCACTTCCTGAAATTGAATGTGTCATTATTTTGTGGATATCGTGTTAATATAGCGACCAATACCGTATCACCGGTATGTGTAAATTTAAGAAGATAAATTCGACTAACGACACCGAACGAATGCAATCCACAAAGCTGCGTATCAAAGACGAAGGTATCTGCTAACAAATAGAGAAACATTCGTTAAATCAGACTACGTACATATTTAGTGTGGCGTCAATTTATGTCTCCCAAGTTTTTAAGGTATACCAATACATATCAAAGACCCATAGTGTGACAAATTGTTTCGCCTCCAGGGTGTTCAGCTAGTGCCTATTATCTATTCACGTGATTTGCTCAACAGGAACAAGGCCTTGAAACAATAAGCCAATCGCTGCAGAGTTGACTTTGTCTGAAGGACATGGCCCTGTCAAATACAAATCATCGCGATTTTAACTGGGGATTTCGCACTATCATTCACCTGTTTTTATTTAGCACCTGTTCTAACCAGCTTACTGACGCTGATAAGGGTTTTTTTTAAAGTGGAGAGCGGGTTCGCCGTATAAAGGTATAAGTTACAGTGATACTGACTGAGTCGCAACATTGCCCCCTGAGCTGCGGACATGTAAGACACCGAAGACAGCAGAATGGTCAGCTCGGACTTGTCTTTTGTTCTGCTTGTGTTGGTGTCCTGTGTCACAGGAGCGCCGTTTGAAGATGGACACAAGCATTATTTCACCTACTTTTCCAAATCTCAGGTTCTCGGTTTACACAACTTGTCAACGGTCATTAAGGTAACTTCTGATGGTATATACATTAGAAAATAAGGAAATACCAATAATTCTGAGTGAGATATGATCATAGCTCACTCTCCTCTCTCAACTTTCTTACTTTCCTATATCCCTATTCCTTTTTCTTTGTATTTTAATCATACAACCATTAAACTTATTTCGAAGCTTGAATATGTGTTTTTTCTGTATTATCCAGCTTCATGAATATTGAATTATTTGCTATTTGCTATTGTATTAAATAAAAACACAAGAAAACAAAAACATTTAGAGTAACCTTTTGAACGAGTCGCAATTTTAATTCGTGACTTTTTTTAATTTGTTACGTCATATTGTACTCCTCTGACTCGGTTAACTTTGTGCAAACGATCGTCGTTATGCCCGGTATTTAATGACCAATGCAAAGTGCGTGGCATTTTAACAATTTTGCTACTGTAACAATCTTCAATTGTAAATACATACATGTAAGACATAACATAATGCACAGGGTAAAAAGCACAGGGCCTAGTGCCGAGCCTTGTGGTACTCCACATGTCAGTTCCTGGGGATCTTACAGGGAAACCGACTTCATCGGGATAGGGGGCGGTGGGGTAGCCTAGTGGTTAAAGCATTCACCCGTCACTCCGAAGATTCCGGTTCGAATCTCCTCCATTTCTGGTGTTCCCCGCCATGCCATTGCTGGAATATTGCTAAAAAGCGAGTAAAAACTAAACTCATTTACTCATCTGGATCGCACGATACCCGGTCATTGTCGTGGAGTAACAATTTCGTTGCGAAGAATTTGCGAACTAATTAATCATCTGTTGTCTCATCCACTTTTGACCTATGTCAAAAAAAAAATGCATGATATCTCGGATCAACTGATAACTTTCTTTGCCTCGGCCATGACAAACACAAATAGACGGAGGAGAGTGTTACCTATGCAAATGAACCCACACGTATTGTGCATCGTTTACTGTGCGATACTTTGATTAAGCAAAACACGTCTCTAATGCAGTTTCGTTTAACTGGTTTTCCAAAATTCCACACCTATTTTAAACACCACCAAAAATTCCATTTTCGGCAAATTGTACAGGTAAGGCCAGTAGTGTCGGTCTGCAGTGCAGTTGTATTTCTGATTGGTGTGGGGGCGGTTGGGTAGCCTAGTAGTTAAGGCGTTCGCTCGTCACGCCGAAGACTCGGGTTCGATTCCCCACATGGGTACAATGCGTGAAGCTAATTTCTGGTGTCCCCCGCCGTGATATTGCTGGAATATTGCTAAAAGCGGCGTAAAACCAACCAAACTCACTAACTCACTCTGATTGGTGTGATCGTTGGCTCGAAACCCAGTTCGCCCTAATTGTGTTTCTAGAATTGTCTGCATGATAACCGATACAGCCTTTGGTACATTTGACAGAGAGCTCCGAAAATATGTCCATGATACTATTTTAACGTGGGACAGTTATTACTTCCAGTTCCATGTGACCCCCGTGAATCATTCCAACGATGGCAGCATGAACCTTCTGATGGTGGACAGCTTTGTACAACATTCTGACCAAGGATATGGTAATACTTGTCCTGTAATAACCTTGTATGTTTTGCAATCATTTTCAACTCTTGAAGAAGAAAGAGCGATTTATGAACCTTGCGAAAGTAAGATACGACTATTTTATACTATTTATGGAACTTAAAAGATGCGTAATTAGTCATATTTATTTATTCTTAACTTTTGTGGCACTTTCACTTTCCCAAAAATGACGTTCATATGATGATTGTTAATATCAGACTCATGTTACTTTCAGTGGACAACAACCCTAAACACTGGGACTTGACACGGAAGTAAGTTATCCTTGAACATCATTACTTACTACTTATTCACAATATACATACTTGGCAATATATAGCCTGTTTTTACCTTGTATTGTCATCTATAGTTAAACTGTTTGAGATTTAATTACTAGTTTTAAATTCGAATCTGTGAAAATCTCTTATTTTACTGTCCTTCGTTGACGGGTTTTTACAATTTACCATTAATTACCATGTATAAAATTAATTTTCTCGTCACGATCTGGCTGAAATATTGTCGATGTGACGATAAATTTTAACTCACTCACTCACTCAATATACATACTGTTTGTCAATGTGCATATCGTGCTTTTCAACGTTAGTAAAAACGAAACGTGAATATTCCGGTTAAAACTTTTCTCAGCAAGCCATGCTTGTCGTGAGAGGCGACTAACGGGATCGATGCTCTCGCTGTTGATCACTGGATTGTCTGGCCTTACCTCGATTATATACAGACCGCTGTCATATAGCTGGAAACCTGCTGAGTGCGGTGTTTAACAACGAACATATTTAAATATATACTAGGCACATAAAGAAACTGTGCATACAAAAATTTAAAATCTAAAGTTATCAAACCTGTGTAGACACATAAGGATTTAAACTCATTGATGAGTGACATGTATCCAACATGCATGCACGTGCCACGTTCCGTGACGTCAGTGGGTTCGTCCTTGAGACGTGCAATACGTTGTTGCACGTGCATTCCGGGAAAGAGAAACAGAGCAAATGAATGCCACACGATACTGTCACTTTGGAAAGCTCAACCCCTGCCCTTGCGATCGTTCAAAAAATTAAACGGCTATTAAAACGCATAGCATGCCAAGGCTCACATCTGCACAACGTCATGAGGCCATTGGGATGGTCCGTGGGGGAATGTCTCAACGACAAGTGGCTGCACATTTCCACTGCCACCGGAACACCATTTCTGCACTGGTGAGACGCTGCCAGAACACAAATGACGTCATCGATCGGCCACGTTCTGGACGTCCACGTGTAGCAACGCCAAGACAGGACATATGGATAAGGGTGACCCATCTTCGCCACAGGTTTCAGACTGCAGTGATGACTACCCGAACCATCACAGGATTTCGCCGTATCCACCCCAACACAGTTCGACAACGTTCACGTCATCACGGGATCAGACCACGACGTCCCGCCATACGGCCTATCCTGACACGTCATCGACAAGCTCGCCGAATGTGGTGCCGAAATCATGTCCGCAGACCCTAGTTTTGGTGGAGAAATGTTGTTTTTTCAGATGAGTCCAGGTTTAACATTTCCCATAGTGATGGACGTCAACGTGCCTATAGACGCGTGGGAGAACGGTATGCACAGGCCTGTGTCTTGGAGAGGAATCGCTTTGGTGGTGGTTCCGTGATGATTTGGGGTGGAATAACAGCACGCCAAAGAACTCATTTGGTGATTGTTCAGGGCAACGTAACTGGTGTGTGCTACAGGGATCAGATTCTTCGACCTGTGGCAATAACTTTTCTGCAACGTCATGGCCCTGGGTTAACATTCCAACAGGACAATGCCCGCCCTCATACGGCAAGGGTTGCTATGGATTTCTTGCAACACCACAACGTTGACTTACTGCCTTGGTCTGCAAATTCACCGGATGTCTCCCCGATAGAGCATGTTTCGGATGAGATGGATCGACGTCTACGCCGTCTTCCTCATCCGCAAGATAACGTCCTTGACCTTGCAACAGAACTTGAGAGAATCTGGCGTGACGTCCCACAAGCCTTCCTTACACATTTGATAGGCTCTATGCGTCGTCGATGCACTGCTGTTCTCAATGCAGATGGTGGACATACCCGTTATTGAGCTTGTGACATGGTCGTTTGACCCCTGTCCCGCTTGTGGACTCGTGACGTCATTGTGATTGACTTTTCAATTGAAAGTCTCCCGACTTGTTATGGTCTCATGATCCCTCAATTAAAGATTATATGTACCTTTGACATTGTTATCCTACTTATCAACTGGGATAATATTTTGACAATGCACAGTTTCTTTATGTGGCTAGTATATTTATCTCATAAACATTACCTCATCAAAACCGTCATGTTGTTACAGCTTCCTGTTCCACGTGGGCGGGGATGGAGCAGTGACGCAGATCTTCCACCACCCGGAAGAGGTGAACGAGGTGGTGACCCTGAAGAAACTACTGGCCGGAACACTGTCTATGTATAACAAGGTACGGTAGCACCCTGTGCGAGACAGTGTCTTTCATGCTTTCATCATTAGTACACAGACGCGCTTTGGGTCCAACTACTCTTTAAGAATGTTGCTTTGAACGTCTAGTTAGACATTCATAATTTAATAGATATCACCAAAATGTGAACTCAGGATAAAATACGTCACCGTATGTCATTTGCGTAGATCGATTTTCATGATGTTGATCACTGGATTGTTTGGTCCAGACTTGGTTATTTACAGGTCGCCGCCATATAGTTGGAATATTGCTAAGTGCGGCGTTAAACAACACGCAAACAAATTAAAAACTTTCAACTTGTGAATATACCTATAATTCTGCAAGACGGTTGGGTTTGACAGATCCATACGTTATTTATGAATATTTAATCACGTGTAATATGTTGTTTCATACTCACGTGGGTTTGGACCCTCATACTACTGAGAATAATGTCTGAACGATGTGTGTGTTTGGCCTGTACAATTCTATTTCTGGTAATTTAATTTCTTTCAGGGCTCTTCGAAGTCTAAATGGAAGTACAGAGACTTTGAGACAGACCAGCATGGTAACATAAGTTCGTTCTATAGAGTGAGTGAGTGAGTGAGTGAGTGTCAACCCACGCAACTATCAGCACCAATCCAGTAACATACCTATGATGGGCTTGGTACATAGTACCAATATACGGACTCGGGACTATTGTTATCCAAATGACCGCACCCCATCCTTCTCAGTTTCAAAATTAGAATAAAAACTGAAAAGATACAAATTCACTGTTACCTTAGTCACCTTAATGTTTGTTCTACTCAAAATGTTGTTTCGATTCAAAGGGAGATTACTCCACTCGTATTCCGGTAAAAGACTGCCGAACGGAAGTGTGGTGAGCAGACGACATAACAGTACAGCGGAAACACACCGCCTGCACGAAAAGGTATCAGCTCATCACCACCTGACCGGCACCGACCCTCCCATAACTGTACCTAACTGTCCATCACTTGACCATGAAACTAAAACCCTTCACATATGATCCAACGGATGTTGTGTGATTAACGTAACGTAATAGGTACTACAGAATAACTCCGGACAGCCTGGCATACCTTTCGGTATGATTTATTATTGAGATACTTCTTCCCCAGACCACCCATGAAGGTCCGGGTTAGCATAAGGGGACGGATTAGGGATTCGAATCCCGAATCTGATTTGTTTTTTCACATTTAGGATTCCAATCCCGAATTTTTTTCAGATTCGTTCTTTTTTCTTTTGCACATTCGGCATTCGTATTTGGTATTTGAACTCTTATTATGCATTTCATTAACACATTTGGTGAGTGAGTGAGTTCTGTTTTACGCAGCACTCAGCAATATGCCAGATACATGGCGGCGGCTTGTAAATAATCGAGTCTGGACCAGACAATCCAGTGATCAACAGCATGAGCATCGATCTGCGAATTGGGGACCGATGACATGTGTCAACCAAGTCAGCGAGCCTGACCAACCGATCCCGTTAGTTGCCTTTAACGACAAGCATGAGTTACTGAAGGCCAATTCTAACCAGCGCCTTCACGGGTATGAACACATTTGGAATTCGGAACTTCAGCGTCCTTGTAACTATACTCTTTGCACCTTCATCTGTCAAACCTATCTATCCTCGATGCGGAAGGCCGAATTCCAAATGTGTTAACACCCGTGAAGGTGCCGGTTAGAACTGGCGTTCAGTAACCCATGCTTGTCGTAAAAGGCAATAACGGGATCGGGTGGTCAGGCTCACTGACTTGGTTGACACATGTCATCAGTCCCCAATTGCGCAGATCGATGCTCATGCTGTTGGATTGTCTGGTCCAGACTCGATTATTTACAGACCGCCGCCATATAGCTGGAATATTGCTAAGTGCCGCGAAAACTAAACTCACTCACTCTTCCCCAGACTGTTGAATATGACCGCAGTGGCTTCATCAAACAAATCAAGAGTAAGGACACCATCAGACTCAGAAACCAGCCTGCTCCGTCTCACACGTATGTAGAGAAATCTTTCTTTATTGAGGCCTGATACTTCTGAATGTTTGGTCATGGTTAGGGTAGCTACTACCATTTGAGCACTGCAACTGCTTCTTTGTCATTTGCTGATGTAGGTTCTACATATATCTCACATTTGTTTATACAATGTCATTAGATGCGTAAGACTTTGTATATAAGTTTTGACAAAATTGATATATAGGGGGTTCATAGTTCAGCTTGCGTGTTATTAAATGCTACAATTATTTTCAATTATTGAAACATATATACTTACAAAAGATGACAAGTGATTGTTATCCAAATGCGTATAGTCCTCTCTGTTTATTACATGGATGGAATCTATCAACAAACTTGGTCAAACTTTGGTTTTGTTTCTCCTTTTGCAAAATTTATATCAAAATGTATATCAAATTTTGCAGCTCCCAGGATACAGAGAATGTTGTGATTGTTTCACCGAATACCGGAGGTGAGTATGATCAGGCACAGTAGTGAATAAAGAGTAAATGACAAAACTGGCATGTCATGAGTTTGAGTTGTTATTGTCAGGTACTAACGGAGTGTGGGAGAGGCATGATACAGCAGGCAGCATCTGATTACTGCCTATACATACACAGCTAAACACTTGTGTCGAACTTGAAGGGACCTACTTATAGTCTTCGAGATATCCGAGGTTGGAAACACCGCAAAATGATAACTAAATATGGAACACGTAAGGACCCAGTTTTTCGGTTCGACACATCAGATATCGACAATGTTTGACGTTTAATTCATAATTGTTGTAGAGTTCCCCACACTGACGTCTACTGCCAGAAGCGTTGTGAAGCTCACAGCTCGTAGGTAAGTCGTGCACTTTACATGCAAAATGATTGTAACGACCTATACTTAAATAGATTAAAATATACTTTGATTTCTAGAAATATTCAAGAACCGAAATAACAAAATGTGACCTTTACATTATTCCAGGCGATTGGCCTCCGCACAGGCAATAGTGATGAAAGACTTCAAGGTTGACACCCCCCAAGTGAAGAAAGTGAGTAAAGCAACTAAGAATTAAACCCTTGTCAGTGGCATACAATGTTTTAGTATTAATGATCCATTAGATCCTCCCTAACCAAAAACAACAACGTAGCTCCTTCTGATGTAACGTGATTAGTAATGTTGATGGGCATCTTCATACTAGTGTGTGTCTTCTCTTGTGCAGCCAGTACCAAGAGAGCAAACCCTAAGCGAAGTGAAAGCCGAATTCAATGATCTGCTGGAGTGTATATCATCCTACAACAACAAATGTGAGTTTAGTGCTGGAGGTTAACTAAATGATTTTGTAATAATGATATAAACACCAAAGCAAAAGAAACGAATTAACGATCTACAGATTCCATTTAGCCCAAAGGGAAACATGACAAGAGAGAACCACTGAAGATCAGTGAGTGAATGCGTTTAATTTTACGTCACACTCAGCAATATTCCAACGATATGGCGGCGGTCTGTAAATAATCGAATCTGGACCAGACAATCCAGTGATCAAGTGCGCAATTGGGAACCGATGACATGTGTCAAACAAGTCAGCGAACCTGACCACCCGATCCCGTTAGTCGCCTCATACGATGAGCATGGGTTACTGAAGATCAATATTCTAACCCGGACCTTCACGGGTTACTGAAGATCGGTGATGACATCAGGTGTTGGCGAAAAGCATGATCTGCCCTATCAGCAGCACTCGTTGTTCACACACTTTGCCTGAAAAAGAAGGAAATCATTGCATGACTCGATATAGCAGTATTCCTGCATGAAATTAAACACACAACCAAGTGATGGATGGTCCTGAAAATTCAGTACTACGATTGTGCATATTCTGATATTGAAGAGACTAAAAGCATTGCATTGTCGTTGCAAATAGTCTTCAATTTATTAGTCAGAGAGTTGGATGGTGATGAAATTTTAGACCATACTCTACCAGCCGGTTATGGCATTGTTTACCAGCGAGGTTAACCTTTAGGATATGGCTTGTTGCGTGAGAACGATAACGCCCGTTACATGTACGAATAGCATACAATCTTGCTCATGTTGGCAAATTCCAGTCGCAACTAACAGAACTGTGTGCGTCCAAGACTTCATGCGTCTCTTCAACAACCTGACTCAGACGGACAGAGTCGCCCTTGGCCACCAGTACCTTGCCAAGTGTACCACCAACGACACTGTGTGTAGAGATGAGAGGTACCTGTTCTTGGACACCCTGTGTCGGAGAGGTGACGAGGACTCGCAGAATCTGGTGTTGCAGTATGTCCTCAACGACAAGAACGCCACCGAGGACGACCTCAGACGCCCTCTGTTCCACTACGTCGCTCTCAAGGAACCAATCCCGGTACGTACACGTATATCTATCTGACATCTACCATCCACTGAGGCTCTAAATCTAATCCCTATCGTAAGTCTGAAATTCACCTAAGGACAAACACAATTAAAGGCCTGACAACGTTCTACGGGTATAACCCAAATTGCATGGTCAATATGAGGATGTAAGAAGTTACTTTTTCCATAAGAGACGGTTGAGTTACCCAGTGGTTTAAGTGTTCGTCCTTCCATCGAAGACCAGCGTTCGATTCCCCACATGGGTACAATGTGAAGCGGATTTCTGGAGTTGCTGGAATATTTCTAAAAGCACCATAATACACACTCTCTCCATATTTTTGTTTTGGTTGTTTATATTCCAGATGCAGTTTGCGTACAATGAAATTCACATGATCAAAGCTAATGCAGATTTAATACAAAATATGTTTGACATGCCTATGTTTGAATAAATTGAAACATCATTTGATAGTGGTCAAAATAAAAATAAATTAAGATAAAATAAAATATTTTGTTTCAGGAAACTGTTAAATCAGTTGAACAACTCTGTTTCCATGGTAACTACGATCATATCCGTAAGTCTTCAAGTGTCCTTGCATATTCATGAAAATAATGTTACATGGATTGGTAATCCGATCGAATGTCTACAAATAAAAAATAGGTTTAATGTTTATGCAGATATGTTGTGGAAGAAGTCATTTTCACATCGACCATCGTTGTTAAGTGATGGTACTTTTTGTTACCTTGCCTGACGCTAAGAATTGAGATGAATACAGCAAGGCTCGTCGTCCTGGAGTGTATAATGTGTATGGTATTTCGGTTGGTATTAAACCCCGACTGGTGCAGTAACAGACACACAAGTGCATGCACGTTACTGTTTGAGCGTATTGTTAAACCCCATTACACATTCATCATCGCCCTAACGTCATCATTCATGGTTAAAATCATGTTTTTAGAATGTAGAATGAGCGTAAATAAAACAAAGACATGTATTTGCAGCAACAGTTAAAATGACCTTGACACAGAAGCGAGCCTGTCTGACACTGGGAGCTCTCGCGAGATCTCTCTTCGACAAAGGAGACAAGACAGCGGCTGAAGATATCCTTGAGAAGCTTGAGAATAAGCTTGGGTTTTACAATCACAGTGAGTTTGAACTAATGTTAACATGTTCCGGACATGACAGAATTAATTCTGCTTCGATCACATTCATTCATTTGACCAGTGTTGACTGTTAACAAATTGAATTAACCCATTCAGGTTATGGCGTCAGTACTTATTGTAACTTTTTATAAAATTTAACTTATTAAGTTTCAAAATTATAGCAGTTTGATGATACCATCAGTCAGGGAGAGTGATTCGTTTTGTGAAATTGTCATCAACAGTCTCGGTAAAACAGAAACAAGCAATTACGGACCCATGCCTACTAATAATTTATGCATTAACAATAATTTACGCATGGTTGTACATCAACACCTTCTAATCTTGACAGCCCTCTCCTCTCCAATCTTGGGCCGCCAGAAGCGTTCTATCCACGACTTCGACTACGAGCAGCACAATCACATCGTGTCCAAGATGGTTCTTCTACACAGTCTTGGAAATGCCGGAATACCAAGATCATTACGTCATATCCGGTCCTATCTTCAACCCAACGTGGGGTCCTCAACATGGCGGAGGGCAGCAGCCAATAGTCTCCGTCAGTACACGTGTAACGAGGTAAATAACTTCTTCTTTGGAAAATGCAGGGCTGGATGTGCCACGCGTGAAGGAGTAACATTGCTATAAATGCTCAATGATTGATGATGGTAGCATAAGCTATAAACCACAATTTGTTCTTCCCAGAGTGCACTGGCGCTGTTTGACATCCTCGCCCACGAAGAGAATGAGAAGGTCCACAAGGAGGCGAGAGAAGTGTACCTGAAACATCCTCAGCGACATCGCCTGACCAGGGGCAAGGAGAACATCTTACTGAGGTAGATGGTACTAACCCTTACTTGTAAAAACATGAACGTTTGGACATCTCACTAATATCACGAGTACAATGTTCAACCCCTTTATAGACTTGACGTGTCGTTACCTACAGTTAAGTTCAATTATGATGTTGGTGTCAACGGACTTTATTTCATTACGTTTGTAACTGTGGCACGTGCATAAGCATAATCTCTCTAAAAATAGGGATGTGTGATGGTTCCCCCATAGCCCTCTTCATAGAAATCTCTTTGAGGCATTTGTTATCCATGTCAAGGATTTGTCGATTTAAGGATTTGGTAAGAAAACACTTTGGCCTGACTCAAAAAGTATTTAGTTCAGGCCATTGAAACTTGATCCCCTACTCTCTGCCCGTAGCCCTAAGAATTTTTAACTTTGATCGTAGCCAGTGTGTTAAGAATGGGCTTAAGAAGATCGTAGGGCTACGCACGTTTCGGGAATAGATAGTCTGGTTCGCATCATCCTCTGAACAGTTTGCATATTTGATAGGTTGTGAGTAATCAACGTGTTACGAATACAGCGATAGTTTTAAATGAGTATGCAGATATCTCTTATTCATGTAGGTTTCAATTAAATTCATATATATAAATACATTTGTAAGTGATGAATATCTTGTAACATCATCAGTAGGAACGAGCTCGAGATATCTGGTTATTATTGTCTTAGAGCCATACCCTATAGAATGTATTATGCTCTTGGTATCTCAAGAAGTGTTCACTAGCATTGTTTGAAACCTACCATTATAATCATCCTTTGGGCATGGGACTGAAAACGTAAGGTTTGGGGTGATTTCAGCAAGATCAACATCAATAAAATCGTCATTAGAGAAGTAATATTCTGCTTCTTCAACGAAGTGTGTTAGATTCAGTGCCAAGTAGAAATAATCAAATATGTGATGGGCTGAAATTGGATGTCGGTGTCATTAATGTAGGTAGTTAGAGACATAATACGTTTCACTTTTAACATCGCACTGGTGCATCTGGCATGGGCAGCCCTCGAAGAGAATGAGATGATCCGCAAAAGGCCAGAAAAGTTTACCAGAAACGTCTTAAGCAACGGGGCCTGAAACAAGGCGTCAGTGTTATTAATTTGGCAGAGCTGTCTCACAAATGGTGTTAGAGAAATGGGATTGTCTACGTTAAAACTCATCCTAGGTATGACATGGATGTCACCAAATAGTACAATGCCCTCAGGTTCCACGCCACGTTAGCTACAGGCAAGGTATCTCGTATGAGGGCTTGTTAGGGATGTATTTCTCAAAACGGATGGTAATGGTCATCAGCCTGAAATGCGTTGGGGTATGTCGTTAAATATGGTTTCTTCTTAAAATGGATGTTTCGAGAACTGTTTCATTTTTCGGAACTACTTACAAACACATTTCTAGTTGCATACTGAAGTGACTCACTAACCATTTCCCGTTGCATGTTAATATGAATATCATCGGTGCTTGACTGTAATAAAATTGATGCTTTGTTTTCCAATCTTGTTATTGTTATCTCTTTATCTTATCTTGTGTATAAACTGGTGTACCACAACTTTCCCCCATATACTTGAAAACGGTATGAAAACCTATACCGAAACGTCTCCATTGTCAAAATAGAGAAGTTGATCAGCCATAAAGTCTTGTCATCTCGGTAATAATGTTCACAGTCGCGACTACACCTTCCACTCCGTGTCCCGTGTACGCCGTGACGTCTTCCACGTTGACACAAGTGATGGTATCCGTCTCACCATTCAGATGCCAGGAATCGACTGGCACAAGACCTTTGGGAGCAGCAGCATAGGCGCCAGTCTTGGTCTGAAGATAATCAACAAGCTCGACATGAAACTGCGTACGTATTGGCCTTTGTCGTACATCGATACCTACATTAAAGCGCCTGTCTGCCCAGCACATTTTTGTCAGTAAACATTATAAGTTGAAGTCACTGGCATCGTTCTCCTCATTGGACATGGCAGTTTATTTACCTATCTAGATTATACGGTAAGCTCAAAGAAAACGTGAAGGCCAAATATTCAAAATGACATTGCCATTGTCAAAGTTTCGCAAGTGAATAAGAAGCCCATGAGCCAACATTGAATTGACTGTGAAAGTAATTGATGGTCACAGTGATGGTCAATAGGAGAACCACTTTCACATAATCAAGTTGTATACGCATTCATGTTCAGCTGAGATAGGCATGTAACAAGTCTAACAACAGACATGCGCTACTCAGACAAATGCTCGTTTATATCATTGCTGTTATTTGATTCATGTTTTTGATATAAAAGTGCCAATCGGTCTAACGACTCCTTTGTCTGTTTAGATCCCCTACACAGTTTCTTTAGTATCAACGTTGATGATGAAGCTTGGGTGACGGCAAACATCGGCATCATTGGCAAATACGTGGACATCGTCAGGGCAAAGTTTTGCTATGCTGGCCACATACAATACGACCTCAACGTCTTAAAGGTTAATATGCGTTCATGTAACACTATGTGCATATGATATTTTGGTCGCATTATGTAGCAGTCTCTTCATAAAACCTAATAAAGGATACAAAACATGTGTTTCGGCGCACAACTGCATATTTTTGTACACTTTCGTCGTGTGTACAGCATTTATGCTTTGCGCCTATGAACGTACATAACATTACATTACATAACATAACATAATTCCATTCTTCAGGATTTCAACATAAATCACTTCAAGGACCTCCTTCAGAAGCTTGACGATACATTCGACTCCATTGTGGGTGGCATCAAGAATGCAATTGCGATGTTTAAGAAGATCACCCAACCAGACTACATCAAAGGGCTGCTGACAGAGATGATCAACTTTGTGAAGAGTCTCCCAAGCCTAGTTGTCCAGTTTGTTGAAGACTTCGTGGACCTTGTGAAGAAGGTGGTAAAATACCATACAGATCCAATCATGGAAAAGGTGAAACAGATCGCACAGAGGGTCAAGGCTTTTGCTGAAGAGATCAAACAAGACGCCCTGGAGTTCTACCACGTAAGTTCTTCACTCAAAGTTAAACTTTGTGTGTATTGTAAATATATACATGTATTTGGTCATATTGAGTAATATATTTCTTCCGATACAAATGATTTAATATGTAAATCAAATTACATGTATGTATGAATTACTCCCGCACACACATATGCTACGTGCATAATTAATTAGTTAATTATGTGTCAGCCTACTCTGACGTCATGAGTCATTGCTCATGATATTAATCACTGGTCAGTTGGATGGTTCTGTCGATTTTTTCCCTGTTGCCTTCGTGTGCCTGTGGTATTGCTCAGTGTGCAGTTAAACAAAACAGAAAGAAAGTAGTTCTACTTATGCATATGATCTCTAAATCTAATAAACATATAGTGTATTGAATGGCGTTCAGATATTGAGTACTTTAACAAAATATCTTATTCAAATAGATGTAGTTCGTGAGCATTATCTGTATTTAGATGTGTCCTGCTGAAGCACTTAAACATTCTACTTTACACTTGTGATTCCAGAGCATAGCTGACCCCGTTGTAATAACGCTTCCGAAAGTTGGCAAGATGCTGAAAGAGGCTGGAGATGATATCATCGCAATCTTCACCGACTTTTTCAAGAGTCCAGCACAATCCTTCTCCAGAATTGGTCAAGCTGTCATGAAGTACTAAATGAGTTTTGTGACATTAAGCATTTGGAATATAGTTCAAAATGTATTCATGAATATTTTATAATTTTGAAAATCAATGAGCCCAAGTTCGTTTCTCAGCTGACTTGCAAACAGAACAGAGTGGTTGAAATTTGCCCCCACAATCTGACCTGATGAGGTTGATGCACAGATAGTTGTTTTCTACTTTTCAAGCGATGAGGGGCGGTGGGGTAGGTCAGTGGTTAAGGCGTCCGCTCATCATGCTGAAGACCCGGGTTCGATTCCCCACATGGCTGCCATATATGAAGCCCATTCCTTGTGACGTAAAACCATACTCACTCACTCACTCTAGCGATGACCATATTATCATTTGTTTGAGTGGCATTTTAGAAGTTCAGACGTACAATATAGAACAATTTTTTAAAGGATATTATCTGTATCGAGACGTCGCACTCACGAAATAAAGAAGTTGTTATCCATAAAAAATTGTTCTATATCATATTATCATTGTTACTAAAATTGTCTTCTTCAGGGTTCGCCTTGCAGTCTCAATGGTAATAGATGCCAAGAATAAGATAGTGGACGCTTGTTCATTCTCCAAAGGTATTACAACAATCATACAATATAACTGGGTGAGTGAGTTAAGATTTTAACTCACATCGGCAATATTTCAGCCATATCGTGACTGATAACAAGTTATAATGTCATGATAAAGCATGGTAAATTATAAAAACCTGTCGGCGAAGGACGGTAAAAATAACTAAAATATGACAGATATAATTGTAAAACTAGTATGAGAATCTAAACCATCTCAATATACAAATCGGCCTATAAATGACCAACAACTGAAGGTAGGTCACCATCCCTTCAGCCGTTGGCGATTGTAGTCAAAATTAGCCATACATTAAAATAACACATATCTTACGATTAAAAACACGTGGTATGAAAAACCTTCGAATGAAATGGGACTTACATACCTTCTCATGGGGACAACAATATATTTGGACAGGATATGTTGTAATTAGTTATTGTAACGTGTTAAATGTATGCTGACCAATTTGTAAAGCCTCATTATTGTGCATTGACAATGAGATATGACGTGCTGGTGGTTCCGAAGCCAGATGTTTTAAACGGTGTTGCCTGATATGTGTATATATGTGGAACACTTACATTATATGATCCCCTTTAAGGAACAAGCCCGTTCTGGATGCATATCGGGGAAGGAGTGACCCAAATAACATATGACATCAAGGACTTGGTTGCCATGGTTATGGCCAAGGTCAACAGCATCATTCATCCCCGTTTATCAAGCTCGGATGGTACCAACGATGGCATCATGGGACCCGTTTGTATATTACTTGCCTACTTTTGTATATTACTTACCTGCTTTTGTATATTACTTGCCTACTTCTCTATTTTACTTACCTACTTTTGTATATTACTTGCCTACTTTTGTATATTACTTGCCTACTTTTGTATATTACATACCTGCTTTGTATATTACTTGCCTACTTTTGTATATTACTTGTCTACTTTTGTATATTACTTGCCTACTTTTGTATATTACTTGCCTACTTCTCTATATTACTTGCCTACTTCTCTATATTACTTGCCTACTTTTGTATATTACTTGCCTACTTTTGTATATTACATACCTGCTTTGTATATTACTTGCCTACTTTTGTATATTACTTGTCTACTTTTGTATATTACTTGCCTACTTTTGTATATTACTTGCCTACTTCTCTATATTACTTGCCTACTGCTCTATATTACTTACCTACTTTTGTATATTACTTGCCTACTTCTCTATATTACTTACCTACTTTTGTATATTACTTGCCTACTTCTCAATATTACTTACCTACCTTTGTATATTACTTGCCTACTTCTCTATATTACTTGCCTACTTTTGTATATTACTTACCTACCTTTGCATATTACTTGCCTACTTCTGTATATTACTTACCTGCTTTTGTATAATACTTGCCTATTTTTGTATGTTACTTACCTGCTTTTGTATTGTACTTACCTACTCCTACGTCACGTAGACAGAGGGGGGGACTTCTTCCTGTTTTTAAACGATTCATCAAGCAAAATTGTAAAATACAGTGTTCTTATGTTTAACAAATAATAAAATGTTAATGTTTTAATGTTCATAATTAAAAGATAACCTTGACTTAACTTAACACTTTCAGTAAGTTTGTTTCAGTAAGGTATATTGTCATGCTTACAAATGATTGTCAGTCAAACAACGCTTTCCTAATTCCAAAACTTGTTCTAGCAGCGAAACGCTTTAGGGATTACTCATTCATTCATTCAAGTGGCGGTGGGATAGCCTAGTGGTTAAAGCGTTCGCTCGCCACGCCGAAGACCCAGGCTCGATCCCCTTTATGGGTACAATATGTCAAGCCAATTTCTGGTGTTCCCCGCTGTGATATTGCTGGAATATTGCTAAAAGCGGCGCAAAAACCAACTCACTCACTCAATCAATCAATCATTCAATTGCTCCAGTTGACTAAGTTCAGTCCTGTTGACTGTCCAATACAATGATGAATACACTTGACATATCGAATTTCCAGTACAAGATGAAGAGCTGGTTTCACAATGAGTCACAGGTAATGCTGTCAAACGTCACTGCAAGGATGTCAGGACTGAAGACCATGGCAGATCCTTTCTTCAAGGCGTACAAAGACGTTACAGGCGTCGTCACTGATGTGAAGACGGCATTTGAAACCGTGAAAACAGTGTAAGTATCCGCGGTTCTATACAGCAACTACTGTAAGAGACTCTAGAAAACTACACATTTAATGTCTACAGTTTACACTGTTTTCACTTGGTGACAAAATCGAATATAGCAACTCAGAAATCACCCAAGCTGACACTTCACATGCTTTTTACAACGGTTGATGACACCTCAGTTCGTTCAATTCAGAGGTTTAAACTGGTTCTGCAATATGGCCTCCACAGCAGCCATATTGAAAACCTATGGCTGTAATGAAGCCAATTGGCTCAAAATCTTATGAAATTTGGTATATGTCCAGTTTGCATTTCCACTCAACACACATGTTTTCGTAATGTTTTAATACTGCGGTTGTTTTTACTCATACATCTTATTAGCTTCGGATCATTCGTATTTTAGTGTCATGGTTTAGTCTATTTGATTACCGCAAGCATATCGTGCTTGACTGTACTGATTTATCCATCACAAGGGATAAATATTTCAATGTCAAAGTAATCAATGATCTTTTTTATAATGTTAATTATCATTAATATTTTTTTTAAAAAGGAAATAGAAATACTAGATAAATTTTGAACTATATGTTTTGTAAATAAATAAATGATATTTTATTAAAAAAACATAAATTAGCAACTGCGATTGTTAGTGGCTGTATCCTCAAAAAGGGTTAAAGTATTAGCTGAGAGGGTTTTTAAACGTAGTATTTTATAGTGTGGCTAAATTTTCCTCCAATCGCCAGCGGCTGAAGGGATGGAGTAAATCCAACTAGGGCCCATGCAGGTAGCAAAGGCACTGTAGATCTACCTTTACGTGTTGGCGATCTATAGCCCGTGTTTGATATTGTATTGTCTCTTTAATTAAAATGTTTTAGATTTACATGCTACTTTTATGTTCATATCTGTGATACTCTAGTATATTTACTGTCTATCGTCGACAGGTTTTAATCTTCAAACTGTTTTCATCTTTATTGTATAAATTGTTTTCGTCACGATATTGCTGCGACATTGCCGATGTGACGTTAAATATTAACTCACTCACTCACTCACTATGATTACCGATTATATTTGAACAATTAACTGTTGACAGAAACTTTGGTAAACTATTTGTCTTTCTTACCGGTCTTGATTCAGATGAATTACTATTATGTAGCGCTGTTTGTCTATAGTTATTCTCATATAATGAGGAAAAAACGTTGTGTTTCAAGAAATGACGAGTGTTGCACCTTAGTGAGACTGTCTGAGATGTATTTCTAGCTCAATTAGCAAGTTTGCTGTATCCATATATGTCTATTACCGAAAGTCATTGACTTATTACATCCAGGGTCAATGTGGGAAAGTCACTGATTCAGAAGATATTTGGGAACAAGTTCCACCGCAAGTTTCCAGCAGAAAGAACAGCCGGACCCTGTACAGAAGCTGTGTTTCCTTCCAAAGGCGGGGACAAATATGACACCATCGGCGTTGATGTTACCGCCAAATCTCGACTGAAAGTGAGATCTATTCACTTCAAGTTGTAGAAATGGCAGTTCTTAAATGATTAGCATGTGCAAAGTACTTGCGGTTCAACAAGAACGGAGTTAGCTTTATTCATATAATAAGTGAAATAGTTAAGTCCAATTCAATCGGTTAAAATCCATCTGGTCCATCCACACGTGACACGTATATAGTATATCTTGACGCTGTCTCTGAGGACTTATACATACAGCTGGTATATAAAAAACCGTCTGTGTTAACGATGCATTACCTTGCAAATATATTGACGAGTATGACTCAGCAGAAGGAATTGGACACAGACGTACATACACAGTTTGGGGAATGTGATGCTTGTATATGCAGAATATGAAAGTGATGCTCTAAAACTAAAAGATGAGGTGAGGTGAAATTGGGTTTAACGTCGTGCTTGAGAATATTTCGCTCATATGACGACGTGCATGCGTGTGTATGTGTAGGTGCGGCTGCTTGTGCTAGCCCAGACTGAAGCTGGTTTTATAGTGCTAGCCCACTGAGATACCATGCCGCAGTGAAGCATGAATACCCCACTCAGACACATTATACTGACTCCGAGCCGACCAGTCCTTGATGTACCCATTAATGCCGAGCGTCAGGCAGGGACCAACAAGTACCATATTTTAACGTCTTTTGGTATGACGCGGTCGGGGATCGAACCCGCGACCTTCCGCTCTCCGGGCGGACGCTCTAAACGCTACACCACGGAGGCGGTCCTAAAACTAAAAGATATATGTCTGTTTATATTTCAGATTGTTAATCCTGTAGCTGGTATCGTCCGATCAACAGGTGATGACGAAATCACAATTACACCTACAGATGACAACTTCATGGAATACGAGATCGTCATCAACAACGTCATTCCCAACACTGAGGTCACTGATGAAGGCTCTGTCATGGAGGCCGGAGACGACATCGGCACAGCAGGAGACAGCAACTGCAATCCCAACTTCATACACGTTGCCCTTCGTGTCACAGAAACAGGAGAATACGCTGACCCATCTAAGTATCTTGACAGAGTTTTGCCGATCCCACACTGGGAGCAAGACTGCAATGAACACACGTTCTACTATATTGGCAAGGCATACGATGCCGACGGCACCACGGATGGATCCCCCAAAGAGATTGTAGATAAATACATGGATTCTCATTTCACAAATATGACGACTTTAGCTCATGTTGAGCCTGACCCCGCTCCTCCGTTTAAACCTGACGGAACAGATCAGCCAAAGGTCAAGGCTCTTGCAGGGTCCTTCCACAATCTCTTGTCGCCGCTGAAGAACTTTGGCCAAATGCTAAAATCTATCGCGTAAGTATAGACTTGTGGAAAGTCGACCAATGCCTCAAATTCATTAGGTAGTTATGTTAACTGGATGTCATATCAAAATTATGTTCTAAACTGTATGACTGTGTGTGAATGTAATTTGGCCGACAGATTTACATTTTCAGGACGCATATAAGACACGTGGAGTTTCATTGTCTATTCGACCATGTGAAGATCCGGGTTAGAATTGATCTTTACTTACCCATGCTAGACGTAAAAGGTGACTAAAGGGATCGGATGGTCAGGCTCACTGACTTGGTTGACACATGGCATGGTATCCCAATTACGTAGATTGCGATGGTCATGCTGTTGATCACTGAATGTTCTGGCCCAGACTCGATTATTTACAGACCGCCGCCAAATAGTTGGAATATTGCTGAGCGTAAAACTAAACTCACTCACTCACTCATTGTCGATTCAGCGTCAATGTCTAAATCACTCTTTTACCCCTACAATAGGGTTCCAAGTATTGACTCTGTCTTCAACCTCAACACAATGACGGTATCCAAGCTCAAGGATATACTGATAGCGAAAGTGGACATCGTGAAGAGAATAGACGACTTTGTTTCCAAGGTTTACCACTGTCTTAACTCCAAGCCTGTTGAAGAGCCAGTTTCTCTCTCGACCTTTAAACTACGTAGTCTTCTTGCACTTGGCAAAATACCTGTCATTGGAGACAAGATTGGAATGGTCAAATCATTAGTAGCACATGGACTTGATGGTAATGTTTAATTCTTGTTCTCGTGCCAATTCTCAGCAACTTCTCCCTAAGAAGTATTTGATAACCTTTAGTAAAGATATGATTGCCCAATATTATGGGGACTGTATGTGGACCGTGTATATGCGATACTTCAACTCATAACCTTGTCATCACATCTGTTCTGTTTTGTAGAACTTTTTTTAGAATTCAATAGTTTGCTGCGTTTAACAATACATATAGTTCTATTTTACCTAACTGCTGTGTTATTGATCCATTTATTACAACTTGATGAAAATGGTCACACAAATCATAAAACCAAAATTGAATGTTTGTTATTCATAGGTATTCAAATTCCTTAATAATGCACATGCTTCTCGTTTACCACAGCTTGTCCAAACTTGAAGTCAGGACTAGCGTTTGGCTTCGGCCACCTGTGCACCCCTGATCACGACTGTCATGGCATGGCCTGTGGCCTCATGTTTCCATACTCTCACTATCACAAGACTGTCACAGTGCATATCAGATCATGTGGCTCCAAGTTAAAGATTCGGTTTCCGGGTATGACAAGTGAACATGACGCTAAAGGTATGCCAATGAAGGATTGAGACTAACACTACAATATACCTAACTCCGTTCGTTAAATAACAGAGATGTGGCAAGATCCATGCATGAGACGAAAGGTATGCTAATAGATGATGTCAACTAACTGTACACACATATATGATAATTCCATCGGATAAACATTCATATTTTGGCAAGGTTCACACGTCTTACATTAGTTGGTTTTTGTTACTAATGCATGACTGTATAAATTCTGTGAATGCATATATATGTACACATATAATTATTCACTTCTTCAACACTCAACAAAGAGACGTTGTATCCTCATATTTGATTACAGTTTAACATGCTTGGTGTTTGTTTTTTCAAGATGGCCCTCAAATCATCGATGTGCCTCTCACAGACGGCTTTGTGAAAAATTTCCACGTCACCTTCAGACTGGACACTTCCGAGAGTGGAGCTGATATGGTAGCGAGTCTCACAGGCAATCTGTGCTCAACAAACTTTGGCTCTTGTCTGCCTATGGTGAATATTTTGAACAGAACGAAGTTCCACAATCCAAATTGTACAACAGGTAAGACGTTATATCATAACCCGTACATTCTATCTCCACCATATAGCTGGCATATTGTTGAGTCTGGTATTTAACAACAATTCTATGTTATTTTCTATGTGACGTATAGTTCCTATATTGCACATTGCGTTTAAGTCATATGTTTATATTCTCATACAGGTTATCTTCAACGTCTAAATGTCAGCATATTGAGGGTCATATCATAGTATTTTTTTGAAAAGTATTTTGGATGACATGACAACGTATGGTAGGGATTTACAACTTCTTGGATATTTACAACACATAACGCCACCTGATAAAGGGGCAAGAAGTAGCCGAGAAACGTCATGTTGTAAATAATGAAGAAGTTGTAAATCCATACCATACGTTGTCATGTCACCTTCCAACTTCTAAATTCCCATCAAGCATCTATTTTGAATGAGATTTGTTGTTACAGCTAGTGCCAATGCCAGTTTTGCGTCTCAAATCGAGTCTATGAGTATCCGGCAATGGATGTCAAAGATATCCCAGTGTCACCTGGACCTGCGAGAGGCTGGAGAGTTGCTCAACGACATCAGACAGGCCGTCCTCAACGTGGTACGTAATGCCTTCCATTGTCAGGAACCTGATGTGGTAGCGCCATCACAGTAGTTCCGTACAAGGATTGAAAAAAGAAACAGTAGGATAAATGATGGATGATACATAATTATATCCCGAATCGATGTCATAAAATCGAAAGTAGTAATTATTAGCTTCGTTTTTAAGTAAGTGACAATTGTAGAGCATTCGCTCTGGAAAATACGTAAGTTCCTAGTCAAGAATTAGAATATCATTGAAACAGATACATAACAGAAATGTCATTCAAGACCGGCTCAAAGAACCATGAAAATTAAAGGTTCCCTCCGAGTTACAGGTACTGAACGAAGTTTTCTGGTAAACATTCAGAGACATTTATTAAAGATTAGAAGGTACTTGATAATAGAACATTTTGGCGTCATCACTGTATTTGAATTAAGATCCATTCGAACAACTTGTATTATTTCCAGTTTGGTATTTGTATTCTAAACTGATTATGTGCTGCCGATTCGATTTGATTTTGATAGCATTGTATGATTATTTGTCGTACCTTTCAGCTGTTTAACACTATCAAGAATCCCCTAAGAGCATTGCAACAAGAGTTCAAAGAAAAGAAAGACAGTTGCAGTAACAAGCAAATCCCAGTAAAACCCTTTGAGCTGACATTTTTCAAATTCGAGAATGTTTTCATGGTTGGACCAATTCCAATGACACTAGGTACGCATTTGTTCTTCGTTATTGAATATGTTGAAAATTAGATCAAAACGTGATATTGTCATAAGCAATGTCCAGGCCAGATTTTTGTGGTATCAACTGGACATTTGTGCTCTCAAAGAGATGCGTTTAAATGTACTTCTTTTCATAGTGTAATTGATACGGTATGCAGGAGAACTCAACAGATAACTGAAGAACATAATCTTTCATTCAGGATTTGGCGCTGGTGGTACTGTTGGCGTTGGAATTGAACTTGGAGTGTGCTTCATGAGCATGAAGTTGAAGGTAAGGGTCTTTTTGGAGGCAAGTACTGTGTTTCCTTGTTGGCTAACACCGCTATCAGCAGTACTAACGGGCCTGCTCATCTGATTCAGTTTGTCGTCCTATGCGACAAACAGAGTAGATTGCAGAGAACTAATATCCCTACCACAAACACACGTCGGGTTTTAACTGAGGTATGTAGGTATTACGCCGCTGTAGCAATATTCCATTAATATCACGGCGGGGAACACTAGAAAGGGGCCAATGTACCCACGTGGGGACTCGAAACCGGGTCTTCAATGTGACGAGCGGAAGCTTTAACCATTAGGCTACCCCACCGCCCCGCTACTTTAAGTAAGGAACAGTACATGCATGATATTTTTGAGCAATATGTTTTCATGTTCTCTGATTCGGCGTCCTCAGACGTTATAGTCTTGGCAAATCACGATTATTACAGTATAGTATTTTTAAACACATGTGCCATCACAATGGTCATTTTCAATATATTCCAGGGAACGGTGACACCCAGTGCTTCTATCAAAGTTTGGGGCAGTCTTGGGGTGGACATAGGATTCGCTTATGGAGGAATCACACTGACCGGCTACATCATGACGACAAAGTTTCCAATTGTTGGCACATTAGGGTTTGCGAAATTCCCACTGGACGTGACGTAAGATATATTTCAGAAATTATTTCGAAGTAACAAGTAATAATTTAGCTGTAAATAAGCACGATTCTCCTTGGAATACAATGACATATACTGAAGCACTTTGAAAACGTATAGACCTTTTTAGCATTATTTCTAAAACAAAAGATAACAAACGTGAATGTTGTATCGAAGGATTGAAATGCTTATTAAAGACGTGTTATAGACCTATTTTCCGAGTTCAGATCCATTGCATGTTTTTTTAAGAAGACACAATCGCTAAAACACACCTTTCCCCCGTTTCGTTGACAACGCAATGCGATCGTGAAAATGAACATTCATTCTCGTTCATTGCCCAAGGTCTCATGGATTGAAGGCAAGGGCATCAATGGGACAAACGCGATTTAAAACAATTCCACGACTGATTTCACAGGAACGGGAACGTGCCAGGCGTTTTAATGTTTACCAGTCAACCATAAGCCGTCTTATCACTAGACATGAACAAACAGGAAGCGTTGCAGACCGTCCTCGACCAGGCCAACTTCAGGCCTACCGTGGTCGCATATTGTAGCCCCGACACCGCCAGGCCCGCCGTCGATTTGCGCAGCAGAATGGACCACGGCATTTCTTCCGTAGAATTGTGTTTTCGGACGAGTCGAGGTACTGTGTTTCCTTTGTTAATGGAAGAGAACGAGTTTATCGGCGACATGGTGAACGTTACGCCAATGCATTTGTCAGCCAGCAAGATCGATTCGGCGGTGGAAGTGTGATTGTTCGGGGGGCAATAAACGCACGTTTCAGGAGCGATCTTCACGTTATTCCGGGCAGTCTCACAGCACAGCGGGTGAACTTCTAAGGCCTGAAGTCGTTCTTTTGCTGCGCCTTCACAAAGACATCAACGTCGGTTGATATTCCAGCATGACAACATATTCCCAAATGCCACAAGAGTGATACAAGCCTAAGTTCAGCAAACTGGAATCATTGTGATGGACTGGCCCGCTTATTCACCAGACTTAACCCCATTGACCACTTGTGGGACGAACTTGGAAGGCGCGTTTACAGACGTCAGCCACCGCCAGCCAACATTGCAGATTTGACCTTGGCCTTGCAACAAGTATGGAGGAACATTCCTATGGCCTTTATCACTCGTCTCTGTGACTCTATGCCCCAACGTACGTCGTCATATGAGCGGAATATTAAACGACGTTAAACCCAATTTCACCTCACCTCACCTATGCCCCAACGTATCCATGCCTGTGCCAGAGCTGATGGAGGCCACACGAGAAACTGACTGTGATAACGGGGGTGCCTCAGTTTGGAAGACGGTGTACATGTCATGTCGACAACAGCCCATTTTGTCTTCAACAGACTGAATGTTTATTCCATGTGTTTTTCGTAAATAATAACAATTGATTTCATCCCATGACCTGTTTTATTTTTTCTCATATCAAACTCGGCTATGCGTTTAAAAGTGTGTCAGTATGTGTTAATTTATAATGTCAAGATTTTATGTCATAACTGTCATAGATTTCAGAGATGTGAACATTATTGCTGTCCTTTATGTCTGCCCTGCCTGCTCGGTTAATACAACCAATATATCAGTCACTTTTATGTGACACAAACAACTCAAAGCCATCTCACTTGTTGAAGAAATATTTCTTAATGTGTGTCTTTCGTCTTGGCAGTGCTCGTATGGATATGGAGATGGTGCCTTTAGCCCTAAAACTTGAGGCATACGCCAAGCTGAGGCTGATATTTGTAACTGTCACCGTGTACAGAGGCAATATTTGGACCTATTCGACACCCACAATCAGGAAGAATATTTTCACCAAGCCGAGCAAAGGGAGTGACGCCTCACCTCCAACATTCTCTAAGAATTCCCTTGGCAAGAGAAGCAAGAGATCTTCTGATGCGGGGGGCTGTGAGGTGAAGCAGATCAAAGGACGCTCCCCATCTGATACTGCATTCATTCTGAAAGTCACATCCGATGATGATGTCAGTGAAGTGAAGATGCATTATGGCATAGGAAGATATTCAGGTGGTACTGATGCTGTGGACTGGACGGAAATGGCTGGAAACACACTTACAGTGCCAATGAAGCTTCCATTTGGTGTTCCTCTGTATTGGACATTGAAGGCCAGTAACAGTGAAGGCGGGGAGGCTAAAACACAATGCATGCTGCACACATACGATAACACTCCTCCAGATGGTAGAGTTGATGAAGATTTCAGGATATCGAGTAATCCATTCGAACTTGGAGGCACGGTTGTAGTGCTGGATGACAGCATAGTCGATCCCCAACAAGAGATAGCTCTCGGATTCAGTTCTGGATCACAGGGAAGCGAGATCATTCCTTGGGAACCAATATCTCTTGAACGGACCACTGTGAGGTCTGGGGAACCAACAGAACTGAAATATTTCTCCCTGCCAAAGACCGGAAGTCTGACTGCTGAACCAATTAAAACTGCTAAAACTAAGTTTGATTATGAATGTGCTAAACAGTGCATTGATTTCGGCCAGAAGTGTGTTTCATTTGATTTCGAATACAATTCTCAGATATGTGACCTCCATTCTGTCGGGGAAGGCCCAAATGCTGCTCTCCGACACAATGGAAACTACAAGTCCTTTGAAAGACTTGGCGTTGGTCAAAAACATTACAAAATCTTCCAAAATCTTAACTTAACCCACAAGGAGACATATTTCATGAACACCCATGTTACCAATGAACTTGGGTATGAGAGCCATCTGACCTCGCACGGAACATTAATAGATCTGACGCCTCCTAGTCCTGGACCTGTCGGGAATTCCACGAAGGATGAAACCACATTCGATGGCTGCTCGGTGTCCATTCTCCAACGCTGCAAGGAGCTGTCAAAACTTCCTAATCACAGGTGAGTATTTTTGTTTCCGACATATTTGATGGCATAGTAACAGATACCAGTGGGATATAATACATGTGCTTCACACAAAGTGTAATAAAATAGATGAAATCAGAAGTTAAATAACGCATCTTTCAATACATATTCATGATAACATCCATACCACCTTGAAGTCGTGACTCACAATTTGTGAGTGTATGTTAATGCATGGCGCACAATTTCTGTTTTTGCGCATATTTAAGCTCACACAGTGTCATTGCTTGTTGACATCAACCCACTGTGGGCATGCAGCATCTTCGCTGACACTGCATAATGTCTCTTTGGGGACGTGATCAGAAGCTTGGCAACACTAATGCATATCCACAGGCTAGTCGTCCATGTCACGTTAACAAGAAAACCCTTCTGTTTGTGCATCTGCGATGTCGACTGCAACGTTAACAGTTCGGACAATTCCTGGGTTGAGACCTGTTAATGGCAGAACCGACATCGCATGCGGTTCAGAGCATGGACTGACTATGGGAATTAGAATTCTCATTAGTTTTCCAAAAAGAACTATTAGACTGCTGAATGTAATGAAACACATTCATTCATCCCTGTGTGTGCTGCACAGAAATGTGTGAAGATGTGCATTTTGCTTGTCTATATCTATTGACAAACTAGATTATCTTCTTCTCTTCTCTGTTTAGGAAAATGACTGATGGAACTGATGGTGGTACTGTCTTCAACGGACACAAACACCTGTATGATGAAAAATATACTCTTTCCAACAACCTTATTGCAGGTAAGCATTAACATTAAACTAACTCATGGTCTTACATGCGACGTTTAAAGTGTCATGTCCCATACTATGAATAAGCGTTACAGAAGCTACTTTCCTTATTCATTCCAACTGGACAACTCCGACTATATCATATGCAAGTGTCAAAAAGAGAAGACAAGCATATGCTGTCCAAAAGGTGGTATCACATACAAAGACAAGTGAATTCTTCCCCTAAAGATCCCCGTGAAGATTCGGGTTAGAATATTGGTCTTCAGTCACCCACGCTTGTCGTAAGAGGCGACTAACCAGATCCGGTGGTCAGGCTCGCTGACTTGGTTGACACATGTCGAATCCCAACTGCGTAGAACAATGTTCATGATGTTGATCACTGGATTGTTTTGTCCAGACTCTATTATTTACAGACCGATAGCATATAGCTGGAATATTTCTGAGTGCGGCGTTAAACAACAAACCAGCCAACCAACCAAATTTAAAGTAAACCTTTATTGATAAAATATTACATATACCCCGTCAAAGTGGAAGATTAGTATTAGTGTTTTCTCAGTAAACTTCAACTGCTATATGCTTTCATTTTATAACAAATTCTCTGAAGCTTTGGAAATATATACAACATGAATCTTTAAAACAGGAAACTGGGATGGCTTTCATGACAACGAGACTGGCATCTATGGTTACACTTGGGCTGCCGGTACATCTCTATGTTCAAACGACACGGTTGGCTACAATGACCCTCATGCTAAAATACCCAGCAGAGATGAGTGGACCTACAGCGGGTTGACCTCTGGCCTTCACCTCTCGGATGGGCCTCATTACGTCACAGTTCAAGCTGTCAACAACATCATACATGGAGGTGCTCTTGTCACAACAGTGTGCCACTCAACACCCCTCATTGTAGACACAACGCCGCCTATTTTCAATGGCATAGATGACGTCTTCTTTGATGGTGATTTTGAGCTCCTGGGACTGTACTACAACGGATCTGATCCTCTCTCTAAAATTGCCCATGTCCACTTTGGGCTTGGGTTAACCCAAAATGATGTGAAACTGCGATCCTATGAAGAATATAAACCCTTTGGTGACCCCAAACCATATGTACTGGTTGAAGATTTTGTCCTGAAGCAAGGAGTTGCTGCCTGGCCCAGAATTCGGCTTACCAACAATGGTATGTGGTGTCCTTTTTTTGTCAAGAATAATACCCCTGTTCTGTATAACCACCTACCCCCTCACTCCAGCACTCAACCACTTACTCAACAACTCACTCACTCAAGCAATCGCTCATTCAACCACTCATTCAACCACTCACTCAACCACTTAACTCACTCAATAACGCACTCAGCCACTCACTCAGCTACTCACGCAATGTCTATATCAACCACTCACTCATTCAGCCACTCACTCAAGCAATCACTCACTCAACCACCCACTCAGTCACCCACCCACTCACTCAACCACTCACTTATTAAGCCAGTTACGCACTCAATAACTCACTCACTCAACTACTCAACTCAACCACTCTCTCAATGTCTATTAATACATTCTACTTTTCTTAGTGGGGCTTTCTACAAGTGGTCACGCCAATGAGCCAATCATTGTGGACGACTCTCCCCCAGTAGTTGGCGTCATCAACGACGGAAGTACGGTTGGCGTAGATGCAGACTACCAGGCAGATGCACATGTCATCTGCGCTCAATGGGAAAATTTCTATGACTCGGAATCTGGAATTAAGAGGCATGATTCTATTACCTTTTTCACTATATATGTTAATGCTTGTACGTCTTTACAATGAGCGTTTTTGTAGTGTTATATCGTATTACTATTTTGTGTAGTTTTCCTTTCACTTCCGTGATCTGTAAGTGAACACATCAGATTGTAGAACTGTTCACAGATCATAAATTATGAATATTTCGGTCTGAAAAAACACACGAATTTTTACAACAGAAACAAGACATGTTGATGGGAAATTGTGAGTCTATTATGCAACGAATAATCTAAAATGGCTTCTCGCCACAGACAGTAACTGACAAGCCACATAAAATAATGTTTATCTGTTTGTTTTCAGGTACTTGTGGGGTGTTGGTACAAAGCCTGGTGTCGATGACATTGTCAAGTTCAAAGTGGAGGACCGCTCGGTGCACAATGACTGTAGCAGTGTCTCACTGACTCACAACACCACGTATTACTCAACCATCATAGCGTTCAATGGGGCGCTGAACATGAAGAGAGTTAATTTTACTTCAACTGGAGGTACACGTAAATTCACGTATAAAAAATCATGTTTATTATCCAAAACTGGGTTCCACTCGAGATATTGCTTGTGTGAGATTATACGATATCTCCTAGGAGATATCGTTTTGATAGTAGATTTAGTACAGTACCCTGACAATGCTATGACGTCATGAATTTGATGACGTCACAATGCTATGACATCGCTGCACTGCAAGTCTAATGGTAGTACAGTGTTCGGATGTACATTTTTCATTGAAAACTAATAAAGAGGGATTTTTTTATGATAAATAGAATCACACCCTCGTTTCTACCGATATCAATTATATCAACAATCGTTGATAGAGTTACAAATATCCTCGGCAAGCCTCGGATATTTGTAATTTTATCAACTCATGTTGATATATTTCATATCAGTAGACACTTGGGTGAGATTCTCTATCTAAGGACAATTGTTATTCATCATTATGTGAACGCTTAACTTAATTCTCCACAAATACTGACGATGGAGTTTATAATATTTCAAAATCCAATGCTAAAAATATAATATTTTTATGAAATGTTCAATAGACTGTTTCATTCTTAGTCTTTGTTACACAGTCCTAGTGGACATCACGGACCCAGTAAAGGGATGGATCAAAGATGGGGATGATGCAAGCCATGACATCACTTATTCATCAGAGCAGGCCCTGATTCAGGCAGTTTGGGGAGGTTTCTCTGATCCTGAGAGTGGGATTGTCAAGTATGAAGTGGACATATACATCAACAATCAGCACAGGAAAACTAACACAATCGTACCAAGCGGGGATAGCCTGTTGAACTACATGAACGAAAAAACATTGGAACTGAAGCAAGGTGATGTCGTGCACACAAAGGTCAGGGGATTCAATGGAGCCGGGAAGAGTGTAGAAGCCACAACCAATGGCTATACATTGGACATGACACCCCCAGTAGCTTACTTTGTTTACGACAATGACGGCCAACAAGAGTACCAGTTGGATAAGACAGCACTTCATCTATCATGGAAGTTTGAGGACGCTCAATCCGGTATTGAAAAGTATATGGTTTCCGTTTTTGAGGACTATGCTGGCATGAAGAGACGAATCTGGCCCTCAACAGACAAAGCAAAGGACATACCTGCAACAGGTGGACAAATGTCCTATCCACTGACAAGTGTTACCCTTGTGGATGGGGCGCGCTATTTTGCCCATGTCATAGCTGTCAATAAGGCCAAGATGTCTAGAACTGTTGATTCTCCGGGCGTGGTGATAGATTCCACAGCTCCTGAAGTAGAGAAGGTTCGTGTACAGAATTATGATGACAACTCTCACAATTGCGAGTGTCTCCATGTTCTTATTTCTTGACAGTACGGATTATAATATAATCTGGTAATTTTGTTGACAAGTTGATGTTGAAAATGTAATCATTATTTACATGGTTTCATCAATTTATTGATAGTCTTTGACATGTTTCAGATCCACCTTGGACCAATGAAAGAGGATGAGGAAATTGAAGATGGAAAACTCGTCCACACAGACAAATCCAAAATGACAATCTCCTGGAAAGTAAGTGATGAAGAGAGCGGCATCAGTGAGATATATGTTGCCATTGGGACCTCGGAACATGATCAATCCATTACCAATGGATTTCTCACTTTCTCACAGACAAACGAGGTGACACTGAAACATCTGAACCTTATTGATTCTACGACGAGTGGAAACTATTACTTCATCCAGATTAAGGTAAAGAACGGCGCAGGTGCAGAGTCCCGTCTGCGTATCTCCAGGCCAATCATTGTACTACCCGGAAACATACCAGGTGTGATATATGACGGGAGGAAACGTTTCGTTGATGCAGACTTCCTCCATGACAGATCAACCTTTGCAATGTCTTTTGCTGGTTTCCAAAGTATTGCCTGTGGTATTGTGGCCTATGAGTGGGGTATTGGGACTGAGCCTTATGTGACAGACATCGTGCCATTCACGAGCTTTGGGGTTGTGAAGACTAATGAATCATCAGGCTTTGGACAAATCGACATCCAGCTGTTTGAAGGTGTAAAGTATTTCACGACAGTCAGAGCAAGGACCGGACATAAATGTCACGAGGAGCACATTGTATCAACATCTGATGGTATTCTTGTCGACACACAGGGACCTCTAATCAAGGCATCCAATACCAAAGGCCACACGATTCCAGATGTAAAGGCCTGGGGAGTTGTGTTCCAGAATGAAACCGACATAGTTGAAGTAACGCCTGATATCACTGACCCCTCTGGAGTCAATGCCAGCCATGTATGCTTGGGTTCCTACCCATATGAGGACGGCATCCACAAATGTAGTCCTCAGAATGAAAAGAGCGTCAAGGGACTATCTCTGAAGCCAGGATCATCAGTCTTTATAACTATCAAGGCAACGGACAATGCTGAGAACAGTGCCACATGGGAATCTATTGCCTTGATTCCTGATTCAACTCCACCCGAACTGGTCAACTTTACATGTACAAAGGAAATATCCAGCATGAGATCTGGAATAGAATGTGTTTGGGATGAGGCAAGGGAGCATGAGAGTCACATGGAGTCCATCAGTATCTGTCTTGGTGAGGCTGACAGGCCATGCTCACTGTCTTCTTTTGAAAACATACCACTCCAAAAGAGATCATGGAAAACGGACACCTTTAGATTCATTGACAAGGTAAACGAGGATAAAATATTTGTCACGGTTCACCTAACAAATGCAATGAAGAAGGAAGCACGTTTGACAAGGGAAGTGATCGTCGATTCAACAAAACCTACAGCTGGCAAAGTTTTGATTGTTACCAATGATCGATTGAAAGATAAAACTACGCATCAGCAATGCCAAGTACCAAATTCCTTTGTTGAGGTCATCATAACAGGATTTGAAGACCCTGACACAGGCATAAGCAGGTAACTAACTTTGTGTTGATTATTATTATTAAAGGTTAGGACAAGGCAATTCCTGACGATAGTAACAATATCCATTTATATGACCATTGATGTGCTTTGTGTATATTTACATTGGTACTGTTTTCGTATTTCAGATGTGAGGTTGGACTGGGTCGGGAACCAGGATCAACTGATGTTCACAGAATGAAGACTGGCCAACCAGAGACTGTCATTTTCTTTGGAAAACTGTCTCTACAACCAGAAGATAAAGTCTATGCGATTGCAAAATGTCTAAACAGGGCTGGTCTCTCGGCATCTGCAACATCTGAAGCAGTTGTAGTTAGCCCATACCCACACCTTACAGTGACGGATGGTTCTGGAGAGAAGGACGAAGATTTCCAGACAGGTCTCTCCTCTCTGGAAGGTCACTGGCATTACACAAGCGGCTGCCCGGTGATGAAGGCGGAGTGGCAGATTATGACAGTTAGTTGGACTGTATTCCAAGATTTCACACCATTACCAGAATCCCTTGGAACATTCTTCAGTGATGAACTTCGTCTAACAGCAGGATTTACCTACATCAACGTGATACGTGTAACAGATGCGATAGGAAGAATTCACGTCGCGTACACTGATGGTGTAACTGTTCTGATAGAACCACCACACCCAGGGGCTGTCAGGGATGGACCAGAGAAAGATATGGACTACCAGACCTCTACAGCTGAACTATCAGCTAACTGGGATGCGTTCGGTAAACCGAATAGTACAGATGCCACTCAGCAGATCGATCGCTATGAAGTTGCAATAGGTGATGATGTCAAGAACCCAGCTTCACGCTACAACGTCCATTTCTTTGAAACTGCTCACCTGAACACCTCGTTCACATTCAGGAACCTGAAACTGAAAGCAAAGTTGATAACATATTATGTCACAGTACGTGCTTACAGCAAGGCTGGGAGTTTTGAAGAAGCATATTCTGATGGCATTAAAGTTGGATATGATTTGGACATATCTCCCGGGAGCATTGACTTACGCAAGTACAGTCATAGTCGTGAAAATCTGAAGGTGTCATGGAGTGGTTTCTACTCCGACATTGGACTCACAGAATACACTGTTGGAATCAGCAAGGACAGTATTACTCTCCCGGGTAATACTACCAACTGTAAATCACTTATGTCAACCATTTCCAACTACAATGCATCCTTTAGATCTGCGGGACGAGACACTGTAGTGCATATGCAGAATCTTACACTCCAACAGGGTCACTCCTATTATGTGACAGTGATTGCCCATGACAAGGTCGACTCTTGTATTGGGGTTTCTCAAGGTCCTATTACCATTGACACAACTCCGCCTACACAAGGTCACATTTCCGCAGTAGGAGGTCAGAGTACAAAGGTTGTGTACATCAGCAGCAGAGAGGAGGTGACCCTACACTGGAATGGCTTTGAGGACATTGAGAGTGGTATTCAAACATACCACATAGAGCTGTTTTCACAAATGCCATGCATGCACGAATCGACGAAACTTATCAAAGTGATGGATGTTCACAATACGACAGACATTACTCTTTACAGCTTGAATCTAACTCTCAGTCTGATGTATACGTTTACAATAACTGCTATCAACGGAGCTGGTCTGAATACGACAGCTGCAACACTGCCCATCCTCATTGATGTATCAAGGCCACAAGCAGGAACTGTGAAAGTTGGTAGAGACTGGCACACATCAAGGACCTTCCAGAGTGAAGACGACAGAGTCAATGTGCGGACAGCAATTGCAAGAAACAAGAAAGGGTCAGAATGCAAACGAAGTAAGCAAATCTTCCCCAAAGTTTCAAATGAGGAACAGTGGCAATCCCTTGTCAGATCGGACATATCAAATTCCTCTGCTCTGGTTGATAAGTATGCACGGGTGGCCCTCACATATGATGAAAATCTGAGAGACATCGTACGCGGAGGGTTATTTCTTCAGCTTGAGGACACACTGGCAGAAGGAAATTACACGTTCAAGTTATTAAGTGCTAAAGGGCAGAATGTCATCACTTCCCTACATTTTGAATTCTCTGATATATCGACCTACCAATCTCCAGTTCTGAAGGAAATACCAAGACTTGATGACAACGACGTGCCTGAAGAAACCAATGCAACTTCCAATGAAACTGATGAAGTAATTCCGTGCTTATCTTCACCAGGAGTTGCAGTCTTCTTCTATGGTTATGATGATGATACCCATGCTTGGAAAGGACGTATCTGTTTAAGAGATGATAGCAAGGAAACAGAATCCTGGTTTGACTTACCTGGTGATCCATCAGACTATGTTTATGAAATCAGCCTGCGATTCATGAAAGACGTTGAGAATGTGAAGAAAACGTGGAGAACAACACTTTTCATTGAAGGTCATCGCAAAGCAGATATTGAGGGTTACACATTTTCTGGAAAACCAAGTATCATCTACCGAGTACAAAATCTCAATGATTACAAGCCTCCTGTTGGAGATCCTCTTCATCCGTTCTTTACGCAAGCTGTACTGAGCTATTTGGCTGTACCTGACACAGTTGACAAAGAATGTTTACATGGAACACCGTTCTATGATGGAGAAAGTGGTCTGAAAGAGGTATGGGTTGGAATTGGAACAAATAAATCCCTTGTGGACAATGTGCTTCCTTTCACTTTGGAATCAACATATTGTCTGCCATGCATGAATAGCTGTATGGAAATTTGTGATCCAAACTGCTCCGTGCCACCAACTGAAACATTGTCTGTGCTGTCATTGGAACTGCGGAACCTAACTCTGGCCCACAGCGAAAAGTTATCAGGGAATAAAGCTACAAACTCTTCAAAACTGATGGATTTTAAAGCTCCAACATACTACGTCAGCGTAAAGGCCGTAAACTTTGCAAATCAATCGACAGTTGTAATGTCAAACGCTTTCCAAGTTGACATCACTCCGCCACAATTCGATTATATGATGTGTGTTGATCCTCAACATTCTCTGGACGAACCGACTACCTTCATAGGCTCGAATAACAGCGTTGGGGCATTCTGGGAATGCAATGAAGATGTCAGTGAGATAGCTGAATACACAGTGCAGATCGGCAGTACAGAAAGAGGGAACGATGTTCTGATTGCGACATCGGCTGGATTAAAGAGAAAGGTTGGTTTGACACTGGAGCATGCGACCCTGGATGATGGCAAAACCTACTATGTGACCGTGACAGCTATAAATTCAGCAGGATTATCTGCCAAGACGTCATGCAATGTGACGGTCATGATGAGCGCACCTGCTGTTTCTAGCGTCTACACACAGAGTCTCTTCACCTCAGGGTACACAAAGCATGCCGTTTCGCTGAGTCCATCACAACACAGCATTGGTATCCATATACATGGCGGATATGACAACCTATACTATGGTGAGTTTATGTTTGCTTCTTTGTTTGTTTGTGTGGTGGGTTGGTTGTTTAACGCCGCACTCGGCGATATTCCAGGTACATGGCGACGGTCTTTTATCGATCGAGTCTGGACAAGACAATCCAGTGATCAACAGCAATTACGATACGATGACATGTGTCAAAGTCAGCGAGCCTGACCACACTAACCCGTTAGTAGCCTCTTACTACAAGCATGGTTTGTTATAGACCCATTCTAACCCGCACCTTCAATGGTCTGGTGACTTTATGCCAATATCCTGGTGTAAGTTTATCAATGTCAGTCATAAACAAAGCAAGGGTTTACAGAGCAAACTATATCTTATATGTAATTATATTAAATCATGTGATTGAAACTTTATTAATACAACATTGATCTTAATGATAATTTTAATTTTGAAGAGAACAACATATCCGAATGTTGTGTATAATATTGTAAATTGTGCTGTTTCAGAATGGACAATTGGCACTGTCCCCGCAACTGATGACGTCTTCCCCATCATCAAGGTGGCAACACGAGCAGATTCCAAAATATCCATTAATCAGGGGCAACTGATGATCGATGGAAAGCTGACAAACATCTCTCTAAGTGACTACAACACTAACGACACAGACACCAATACCTCCAAAGCAGACGGGTCCTTCTTGATGCTGGAGCCAGGCAGATGCTACTATCACAGTCTCAATGCAGTGAGCCGTTCCCATGTTGCAGTTGCCGTGTCTACTCAACCAGTCTGCGTAAAACGTCAGTATCTTACACTTCTATATTTGATTCTTTACAAATATGTTTAAGAGATTATAATAGTGAACGGAATCTTGGCTCGGCTTGGTTTGTTTAAAAAACAGCCTTACTGATGTATTGTGATTACTGCTAGTGAAATGTCTAATTTTACAGTTGCAGATGAAGTAAATTACGTACAGCATAGACTCTAGAGGTATAGCAAAACATTTAAAGTCAAGAGCAAATGTAATGCATGTGCAAATTGACTGTGTATCATCTTGAAACATACGTTATATGCATAACTATTAGTTTAACAGGAAGGCAATGTTCACCAAATTAGTTCTGAATTATACTGTCACATGTATTTTCGTTTCAGGAAAGGATGATATTCTCGTTGAGCTTGGGGATCACAATAGTACCATAAAGTCAGTTGTAATTAATACATCATCCGGTGGCAGCAACGAAACTCTGCAACTGGCTGTTACTGGTAACGTTTGTTCGATTGTAATTATAGTTTAAAATGAGTGGCAGTTAAACAATCATTAATTAAATAAGAATATGTACTGATTGAGTTTATATATGCCCTTGAACTGTTTCCTTTGCCAATAGGTTTAACGTTGACGTTTCAGATCAAATTATGCTTGAGGTTCATTGAAATCGCTAACAGTTCGTGTAGGTACATGCAATTTATAGCGAATGTATAATTCTATGGAATGGTGTATAATTTTTCTTGGTTTGTTTCTCCTACAGGCTACAACGGAAGTCTCCTAATTGGCACTTTAAACTCAACTGACTTATCCATGATATATGGAAGTGCAGCAACTGCAGAATATGTTCCTTACATTACTGACCCGTTGGAAACAATGCAAGCTACTTCAAGGCTTCTCTATGGACGGTATGGAATCTTTCTAGTCAAAGTAACGCAAAGCGTCAGTGACGGCAATCACTCATAAAACCTATCTAACATACTCACTAGCAATATCAATTTACGCCATGTCTGAAACAAAATGAATGTATGATTTCCTTACTGAAACAGGATCAGAAAGCCGTCGGGACTGGCATTCTATATCTCACCAGCCACTGAGGCAATAGTGGACCCAATGATGGATGTCACTGTTCATGGTATAGTCCCCAGAGATGCAAACAAGACCATCGCCCTGCTGTCTTGGAATAAAGGTATGGCATAACACCATATGCACATCCTATTGAAAATTACTGTGTGCCTTGATCTTCAGTAACCCATGCTTATCGTAAGAGACGACGAACGGATCGGGTGGTCAGGCTCGCTGACTTGGTTGACACATGTCATCGTATCCCAATTGTGTAGATCGATGCTCATGATGGTCCAGACTCGATTATTTACAGACCGCCGCCATATATATGGAACATTGCTGAGTGTGCCGTAAAACTGAACTCACTCACTCACTCACTTCATCATGAATCTTTTTGCATTGAATATATGTAAATACTATAAGTATGCATGTGTCCTGTAGGTACACAGACGTGGGAGCTGTCCCAGGAACACTGCCCCAAAAGCTCTACAATCAGCAGTACAACTGGAAAGGTAAGAAATTAGTGTCCTGTTTCATAATGAATAAACTGATATTTTAGGTACACGTTCAGTCCAGTGATTTAGTATTAGTTATGAATACCGTTAAAAATCGTGTGTTTTTTAAAACTTTCAGCTGTGCCTCCAAGGCGAGAGACAATCAATAAACGCAAAAGAATATATCACTATTAAACAACCCAAGCTGCTGAGTGTGTTTGAAATAGACAAAGCTGTTCAGAACTCACCACCAGTTGTCATCACAAAAACAATTACATCCGACGAAGACCAGCTCCTGACAGAATACATTGATGTAATGGACAGAGAGGATGATCAGATTTCCTTTACTCTCACGGCACAAGGACAGCATGGGAATGCTTTCCTTACAACTGATGGTTATCTTACGTATACCCCTGAAGCTGACTATTGTGGAGACGATTCTGTTACGGTAGAAGCAAAAGAGCAAAACATTCCTCTTGGAGCCAAGCCTTACAGTGTAACACAGGACATCCAGATTCAGATCCTCTGCACGGAAGATCCTCCTGAACTACGATTCATCAGTCCGAATGATGACGTTTATGATGCAGATGTTGATGCCACTGTGAATGTTGAACTTTCATCTTCGACAAGTTCCTCCACCAGGAAATTCCTGGGGTTCTTCATTCTATCTGACCGAGACGTTGACACTCTTGACATTGTGTTTGATTCAGCAGCTGCAAAGGAGGTTAACATCGAACTGAAGAACACGACCCAGACTGATTCTGTGAAAGCTCTAAGCAGGCTCAGTCACCACAAAGAAAAATCTAACCTGGTGTACGGGGTTTGGGTCACCGTGCCTGCAAATTCACAGCATAATAAAACCATCAAATTCCGGGCCAAAGACGCTAAGAAGGTTCACAGTAATCTAATATCCTTAGAACTATCTGTCAAGAAGGGTTCGTGCCAAGGTCAAGCTTGTGATGCAATCAAAACACAGGGTCTGAAACGTGATAACGGTAAGTGAATTTATACATTGAATGATAATATAAACAACATGAAGCATGCGTTCTTTCCTGAAACAATAGTTAGTGAAGGGCCGAATGAATTTAGTTTACGCCGCTTTTGGAAATATCACAGCTTCACACATTGTACCCACAATTTACGTGGGGAATCGAACCCGGGTCTTCGGCGTGACGAGCGAACGCTTTAATTGTAAGGCTACCTTACCGCCCCTATATTTTGTGACGAGGCTGGTAGGACAAACATAAAGTCTCTCTGAAACAAATTGTATAACTGCTTTGAATTTTATATCTGTAGCCAAAATCTTCAACGACCACCAAGCAGGAAACAAGATGCTCACACCACCTCCACAGTTGTTCAGGAACGATGTAAGGACATCATATCTTCAGATCACATTCACCTGATCCATCGTGCTGTTGGTGTGAATAATTGACATGGACGCACAGTGAACTATAATGTCAATGTTCACGTGAAATGTTGCGGGACTAGCTCTTATTAAGAACTTCGATCTATCTATACAAAATTCAAATACCTTTATTATTGAGATTATTGAGGACTTTTCAATGGTTCTTGTTAAAATTTTGGGATTTGATAGTTTTGCTATGATTTTATACGCAGTTTCTGGGAAAAGGATCGTTACAAACTGGAGCTTCAGGCTTGCAGGGGAGGAGTGTATCTCTCACCAGAGATGGAATCTTCTCGCTGACTTTGGATTCTTCTAAGGCCACAGATGACCAAATGGTCTTGACAGCATCAGGTTTGAATTGTTAGGATGAGAATAATGTCTAATGGTGATATCATGACGGTAATATGACCATGTGTTCTCATTAAGATCCGGGTTAGAATTGATCTTCAGCAGCCAATGCTTGTCGTAAGTGGCAACTAACGGGATCGGGTGGTCAGGCTCGCTGACTTGGTTGACACATGTCGTCGTATCCCAATTGTCTAGATGGATGCTGATGATGTCGATCACTGGATTGTGTGGTCCAGACTCGATTATTTACAGACCGCCGCCATATATACTGGACAAAAATGGTTAGGGATATATGTAAATTTTGAAATTATGAATAATGATCTATTTATTCATTGCCACAATGAAAAATACCAATCATAAGAATACCAATATCCCTAACTTATTTTGTCCAGTATAGATGTAATATTGCTGAGTGCGGTGTTAAACAACAAGCAAAAAACAAACTTATATTTCATCTCAACGTTGAATAGTATACCTTTCCGCTTGTTTATCTTTATCCCTTGTGTTGTATAGGAAAAGTGAACATCTCCACATCTGACCAAGTTACTGTTGAACAGTTGAACACGAACGCAGACAGAAAAAATAGAGGGAGGTGAGTAGACCAGTTGTTCTGAAGTCAGATGCAAATACATGTACTGCTTCTGAAACCATGGACCCGTGAAGTTCCGGGTTAGAATGAACCTTCAGTAACCCATGCTTGTCGTAAGAGGCGACTAACGGGATCAGGTGGTCAGGCTCGCTGGCTTGGTTGACACATGTCATCGGTTCCCAATTGCGCAAGTCGCCCATGCTGTTGATCCCTGGATTGTCTGGTCAGAAACCATGGCATTCGGATAATGTTTGCTGTATTGAATGGATAGCATGGAATAAATGGAAAGCACGTCAGCTTTCAGATAAATCCCAAATATCTTTATATATCGGTCACTATAAGTGGGTCTATTAATCAAGTCTTATTTGTTCAAAACTTAACTCACTCATTCACTCACTCACTCTAATTTGTTTGCACCTGTTTGACTGTTTAAGGTGCTTCTGTTATAATGTTGGATATTCTTCTGTTTCTATCGAGTTTTACGGAACGGAAGTGAAAATAACGATGCTTCCGTTGTGTTTCAGGTTCGTAGAGCAGCTCGGCACACCGCTGACTGTCAGTGTCAAACCTGAAGACCTAAATGGAACACATGTAGATATGAGAGTTAAATCGGCCCATGACAACACGACCAGTGTCAAGCTGTTCTTCAAAGCCAGTGGTAAGCTTGTAATGTTGCCCCCACTCTCCAGCGCACAGAATCATTGACCCCTTCCTCCACAAAAATGGAAAAATGGAAATCTGACAACTGGTAGTCTGTCTCACCTACTTTGTGTACCCCTGAGAACTGAAAGTAAGCTCTGACAGTGAGTGAGTGAGAATGGTTTTACGCCGCTTTAAACAATATTCCAGCAATATCACGGCTGGGGACACCAGAAATTGGCTTCACATATTGTACCCATGTGGGAATCGAACCCGGGTCTTCGGCGTGACGAGCGAACGCTTTAACCACTAGGATAACCCACCGCCCCAGCTCAGACAGTGCCCTAACCATGTAACAAATTGCTGAAAAGGGAAGGAGGAGATTCATCATCAGTTTGATACAGGATGCTATATATCTGTTGAATTACCGTACGATTAAGTAGACAAGTTCTTTTCACGTACAGATGGTACTATTTCAAACCTTAAATATCCCCTTGATTTGTTTGGTTCAGATGGTGCGTGGCACCAACTGCCTGATGTGTGTAACAGCACCAAGTCGACTGTTCTGACAGAGGACCAGTACCAAGTGTCTGTAAGTGCATCTTGAGATGTAGTTCAACATGAGACCCTTGAATACTATTGTGCAACAATAATCGCACATGGTAACCTTATTTAGAGTATGTGAGCGTGTGTGTATATTCAAGTTGCGAGCTTGTGTGCGTGTGTGTTTATATATGTTTTAGCAGATGATGGGGTAATTGTGAAGGGAAAATGATAGCGTGAGCGTGTTATATTTATTTAGGCGATAACGCAATATTAACAGGAGACGATAGTGCTATAGAGAGTATTTGAGTGTGTATCTTATTGTAGTAGGTTAGAGGGTACACTTGACGGGAGCGGATAGCATTATTGAGCGTATGTGTGCGTGCGTGTTATATTCTAGTAAATGGCATCGTAATACTGACAGAAGAGGACAGCATATGTGCATCTGTGTTATATCGGAGTTGGTGATGGAGCAACAATAGGAGACGATAGTGTTATTGAGAGTAGTTGTGTGCGTGTGTGTTATATTGAAGTTGGTAATAACGTAATATTGACAGAAGAGGGTAGTGTAATATTGATTGCAGACAGTAGTTTAATATTTGATAGTAGACAGTAGTTAATAGCAAACATCGTGCTTGAAAACGGTATAAGTATCTAAAACGAAACGTCGCTATTATACAATAAAGAGCTGATGATCCATTAACACTTGTCATTCCTATAGGGATAGCAGTCGAGCATAATAACGATATCAGGTAGGAAATATTACCATTCTAAGTATAAATTCATTTGCTTATTAATGTGTGCATTTGACGATTGTTTCAGTTGTGTCCAGTTCTCTTTGGTCATATGAACCTCACCAAAGCCACCAGCGGAGACGTATCTATACACGTTGCAGTATTTGCTGTCAGGAACACTCCTGTGAACACCCCACCCATTCTGGAGGACACCGTCATCTACGTTCGGGAGAGTCATTCACTAAATCACCAAATCAAGGCAAAAGATCCCGAGGGTGATAAATTCACGTTCCGTTTGACAACCCACCCAAAACATGGCTACGCTGACATAGACTCCACAGGTGGTCTATTCTATTCACCAGAGCCTCACTACAACGGCTTGGATCACATCGGGATTGAGCTTGCGGAACTCCCCGGAGAAGGTTTCAAGCCATCTGTCCAGACATATACCGTTACCATCACTGTCACTGCAGTCAATGACCCGCCCATCATATACTACCTTCCCCCTGACAGTGGCATGTTCCGAGTAGAGAACAACGACATTGTCCAACTGGACATTTCAAGACCGATCCCCTACCAAACAACCGCTGTTGACCTTGGCAACGTCGTCGCAGCTGACTGGGACGAGGGGGATGAGTTCACATACCAGATAACAAGCCTGAACAAGACGGATCACTACTTTGTTGTACAACCAGCGTCTTTACCGGATTCTGTCTGGACCAGCAAGCTCACTGACATCAAACGGCTTCCACAAAAGAAGGTCTCCCACATAACGCTGAATCTACCGTCAGAGTTCAAGGGCACGTTGATGTACACGGTGATTGTTAAGGATAAGGGCGGGGCACAGGTTATACTGGATTTGAACGCAAGGGTTTCTTATAGATCCTGTCAAGCTGGAATTGTGTGTCTTGATCATGTTAGCGCATGGCGCACTGCTTAAAAAATGACACAATCAGTTCACAGCCCGCTTAACCATATAGCTTATAAAATTCTTATAATGCACTGTGTTATTACTGAAACTTGCATAACGTGTTATACATATTCACAGGTTTTTTTACATAACCTGATATACTTACGTGTGATGAATGTTCAAGAAAGAATTATAATTGCTTTGGAATATTGGAAAATTAAACGAATAAAATCCTGCATTGCATCGACTTATTCATGTTCATTTCTTTGTTTGTAACCTGTGAAGATCAGTAGTGGTAGCTCGTGGAGGGACTCCTGGTGAGTTACAGGTGTGTGTGGGGGGGGGGAGCGGGGGGGGGTGTTTGTTGGTCTGACAAAGGGCCTGGTTTACTGGACAAATGGAACCAGTGAAGATCCGTGTTAGAACTGGTCTTCAGCAACCCATGCTTGTCTTAGGAGGCGACTAACGGGATCGGGTGGTCACGTTCTACGACTTGGTTGATATATATCATCTCATCCCAGATGGTTAGATCGATGCTCATGTTGTTGATCATTGGATAGTCTGGTGCAGATTCGATTTTCACAGATCACCGCCATACAGATGACATTTTGCTGGGATCAGGTGGTCAGGCTCGCTGACTTGGTTGACACATGTCATCGCATCCCATATTGATGTGCATGCTGTTGATCACTGGATTGTCTGGTCAAGACTCGATTATTTACAGGCCGCCGCCATATTAGGTGACATTTTGCTGGGATCGGGTTGTCAGACTCGCTGACTTGGTTGACACATGTCATCGTATCCCATATTGATGTGCATGCTGTTGATCACTGGATTGTCTGGTCCAGACTCGATAATTTACAGGCCGCCGCCATATTAGGCGACATTTTGCTGGGGTCGGGTGGTCAGGCTCGCTGACTTGGTTGACTCATGTCATCGTATCCCATATTGATGTGCATGCTGTTGATCACTGGATTGTCTGGTCCAGTCTCGATTATTTACAGGCCGCCGCCATATTAGGTGACATTTTGCTGGGATCGGGTGGTCAGACTCGCTGACTTGGTTGACACATGTCATCGTATCCCATATTGATGTGCATGCTGTTGATCACTGGATTGTCTGGTCCAGACTCGATTATTTACAGGCCGCCGCCATATTAGGTGACATTTTGCTGGGGTCGGGTGGTCAGACTCGCTGACTTGGTTGACACATGTCATCGTATCCCATATTGATGTGCATGCTGTTGATCACTGGATTGTCTGGTCAAGACTCGATAATTTACACGCCGCCGCCATATTAGGTGACATTTTGCTGGGATCGGGTGGTCAGACTCGCTGACTTGGTTGACTCATGTCATCGTATCCCATACTCGATTATTTACAGGCCGCCGCCATATTAGGTGACATTTTGCTGGGATCGGGTGGTCAGACTCGCTGACTTGGTTGACTCATGTCATCGTATCCCATATTGATGTGCATGCTGTTGATCACTGGATTGTCTGGTCCAGACTCGATTATTTGCAGGCCACCGCCATATTAGGTGACATTTTGCTGGGATCAGGTGGTCAGACTCGCTGACTTGGTTGACACATGTCATCGTATCCCATATTGATGTGCATGCTGTTGATCACTTGATAGTCTGGTCAAGACTCGATTATTTGCAGGCCACCGCCATATTAGGTGACATTTTGCTGGGGTCGGGTGGTCAGGCTCGCTGACTTGGTTGACTCATGTCATCGTATCCCATATTGATGTGCATGCTGTTGATCACTTGATAGTCTGGTCAAGACTCGATTATTTGCAGATCACCGCCATACAGATGACATTTTGCTGGGATCAGGTGGTCAGGCTCGCTGACTTGGTTGACACATGTCATCGTATCCCATATTGATGTGCATGCTGTTGATCACTTGATAGTCTGGTCAAGACTCGATTATTTGCAGGCCACCGCCATATTAGGTGACATTTTGCTGGGGTCGGGTGGTCAGGCTCGCTGACTTGGTTGACACATGTCATCGTATCCCATATTGATGTGCATGCTGTTGATCACTTGATAGTCTGGTCAAGACTCGATTATTTGCAGGCCACCGCCATATTAGGTGACATTTTGCTGGGGTCGGGTGGTCAGGCTCGCTGACTTGGTTGACTCAGGTCATCGTATCCCATATTGATGTGCATGCTGTTGAACACTGCATTGTCTGTTCCAGTCTCGATTATTTACAGGCCGCCGCCATATTAGGTGACATTTTGCTGGGATCGGGTTGTCAGACTCGCTGACTTGGTTGACTCATGTCATCGTATCCCATATTGATGTGCATGCTGTTGATCACTGGATTGTCTGGTCCAGACTCGATAATTTACAGGCCGCCGCCATATTAGGCGACATTTTGCTGGGGTCGGGTGGTCAGGCTCGCTGACTTGGTTGACTCATGTCATCGTATCCCATATTGATGTGCATGCTGTTGATCACTGGATTGTCTGGTCCAGTCTCGATTATTTACAGGCCGCCGCCATATTAGGTGACATTTTGCTGGGATCGGGTGGTCAGACTCGCTGACTTGGTTGACTCATGTCATCGTATCCCATATTGATGTGCATGCTGTTGATCACTGGATTGTCTGGTCCAGACTCGATTATTTGCAGGCCACCGCCATATTAGGTGACATTTTGCTGGGATCAGGTGGTCAGACTCGCTGACTTGGTTGACACATGTCATCGTATCCCATATTGATGTGCATGCTGTTGATCACTTGATAGTCTGGTCAAGACTCGATTATTTGCAGGCCACCGCCATATTAGGTGACATTTTGCTGGGGTCGGGTGGTCAGGCTCGCTGACTTGGTTGACTCATGTCATCGTATCCCATATTGATGTGCATGCTGTTGATCACTTGATAGTCTGGTCAAGACTCGATTATTTGCAGATCACCGCCATACAGATGACATTTTGCTGGGATCAGGTGGTCAGGCTCGCTGACTTGGTTGACACATGTCATCGTATCCCATATTGATGTGCATGCTGTTGATCACTTGATAGTCTGGTCAAGACTCGATTATTTGCAGGCCACCGCCATATTAGGTGACATTTTGCTGGGGTCGGGTGGTCAGGCTCGCTGACTTGGTTGACACATGTCATCGTATCCCATATTGATGTGCATGCTTTTGATCACTTGATAGTCTGGTCAAGACTCGATTATTTGCAGGCCACCGCCATATTAGGTGACATTTTGCTGGGGTCGGGTGGTCAGGCTCGCTGACTTGGTTGACTCAGGTCATCGTATCCCATATTGATGTGCATGCTGTTGAACACTGCATTGTCTGTTCCAGTCTCGATTATTTACAGGCCGCCGCCATATTAGGTGACATTTTGCTGGGATCGGGTGGTCAGACTCGCTGACTTGGTTGACACATGTCATCGTATCCCATATTGATGTGCATGCTGTTGATCACTGGATTGTCTGGTCCAGTCTCGATTATTTACAGGCCGCCGCCATATTAGGTGACATTTTGCTGGGATCGGGTGGTAAGATTCGCTGACTTGGTTGACACACGTCATCGTATCCCAGATCGATGTCCCTGCTAGATCACTGGGTTGTCTGGTCCAGACTCGATAATAGTGTGTGCGTCGTTAAACAGCAAACAAACAGAAACAAATCTCAGTATATGTAACTATTCATTTCTGTATGGTTATCGCTAAAGGTTTGGGTTTTGGGTGTTTTTTGGGTTTTTTTATTCAGTCAAATGTTATAGAAACGTTTTTCACGAGTATTTACAGTATACATTTTCCAGATTCAAACATTTTTTGAAATTTATGGTGGAAGCCTGTAATCTACTGTTTTCTTTTCTTTTTTTTTACCTCACCTTATATACACAACATATGTAAAAAAGAATTATACAGATGGGAAAGAAAGGAGAGATAATGAAAGAGAGATAAGAAAAGATGAAAGAGTGCAGAGTGCGGCCTAGAAAAACTCACTATGTCAATTTGTTGGTTTAATCATTTTGAAAGAGACACAACCATTTTCTTTTGAAATCTGAGTGATCGTCACCGAAGATATATTTTTCAAAATGGTAGTGATGTTTTATAAAATAGAAAAGTTGATCGAAATTTAATTCCGCTGAGGTATATCTTGTTTTATTGATATATTGCTTGATAATTATAAAAATGTGGTTCACTAATACACTTGCCTCAGGGTCCCCCATTAAAAACTTTGTGCTATCAATATTGAGACGAGTGCCAGTCTTTAAATAGTACCAGTTTGCAAACTGACAGATTAATGCGCGAGTGCTCGAGTGTTTCTATTTCTCTGCCACATAAAGTACAGATGTCATCCTGATAAATACTTATTTTACAAAGAAATGACTTCGTTGAGACTATTCTGTGCATTATTTTAAATTGAAACTTCCTAGCTTTATTCTCCATGGTAACAGCGTTAATCATTGTAAAACAGTCAGCAAGATAAGTATCGGATAAAACAGTTAAATGACTGGTAACGTTACTGGTCAGAAACAAATTTCACTGTTGCAGTAATATGGCTACAGGACAGCGCGGAAGAGTGTTCGTGTTTTGTTCAAACCAAGATAAATACAATCTTAAAAGATTTCCATGAAAAAAATGTCATAGTGTTTCTCCAAAGATACAAGTCGGCGTATCGATAACCTAGCTAGGCTTTTCTATGTGCAGACTGCCGCTAAATCAGACTCCATTTTAGATGAGTGAGTCCGTTAAATTTAAAGTGACTTTGCTTTGACTTTAACCATATCATGACTAGAGCTGCGAGAAGAAATAGGCTTTAAATGAATTTATGAAAAATGAATGGACAGTGAAACAACCAGTTTAGTAAAGATTTGTAAGATATCTGTAATAATAGAGAGTGAGTGAGTATGGTTTTACGCCGCTTTAAGCGAGATTCCAGCAATATCACGGCGGGAAACACCAGAAATGGCCTTCACACATTGTACCCATGTGGGGAATCGAACCCTGGTTTTCGACGTGACTGGCGAACGCTTTGACCACTTTGTTACTATAGCACTATAAATATTACCATATTTTTAAATACATTATAAAGACTGGCTGTAGATCAGCAATCCATGTTAGGCCATCTTACTAAGGACCATGGTGTTATATAAGGTACATAATCTGCCAGCACGGTACCGCATCTGGGTGTACACTATACCTCCAGTTGTTGGCGATTGTCATCGGGTTTTAACGAAACATTAATACAAAACATAACTGTTGAATCCTCACA